AATCTAGAATCTAATAATCTTGTTATCAACTAAATTTGAGAATGAAAATCTAACGCATAATGTAATTTAAAGCGAATATCAACAAGACGTACAATAGATATTCATCTTTTCCAACTTTAATATACAGTAGACGCAAAACGTTCAATACGATTTAATAATATATTGTTGAATACTATGGCAATAGCCATTTCAGAATTAATGATTCCTCTATATCCGGCCATATTTATAACAATATTTGTACTATAATCAGTGAAATATTTTGAGTGGCCGAAAATAATAATAATAAAAAAAGTAAAAAAGTATTTGTCGCTCAAACTATAAAAATACATGTAATTTCATAAATTATTTCATAGAAAACAATTAGTAAAACGACAAATTTCCCATTAATTAATAATAGTTTCTTTTTTATCCTATAAAAATGTTTTATTTCATTTCTACAAGATATACATGTATTAAATAATATCCGTCTTGTCAAGGGTATCTTTATTAAATTTTAAGTCAAATGAAAATTTTTTACTTATTCTTATGCAACGTATTGAAATTGATATCTCAAAGGAAATTAAAGAAACTTCATTTTATATTATAAAATTATGTGTCATCTTTTAATTCGTTTGAAGTTTCTAACGTATCGTTTTTCTTTAAATTATTGTCCGTTTCGTTAACATCATTACAAATTTCATTATCCAACTCTTCGGGAGCAGCAGAAGTACGATTTTCTTTGAATTTATTTTTTTCTGAAATAACAATTCCAAATAATATTTTAAATCTACAAATATATATTTGATATATATTTCTAAAAAAAAAAAAAAAAATACATACCAAATTTCGAACAATCAGCTCCTAATAGACGTAAATAATGAATTGCATCATGTATAGGAACATATGCTCTCAAAGACATTGTACCTCGCCATCCTACCATTTGTAGCTTTAATGGATTTTCAATTCCTTCTTCTTCATACATAAGTATACAACTTCCAGTTGCTAAGATAATACATACGAATTTATCAGTATTTAGGAATAAAATTAGAAATAATAAAAAATTACAATTAGTGATAAAATTTACAATTAATATTTAATTCAATGACAAAAAATGTTACCAAAGTTTTGTAACCGTTCTTGTGTTTCTGGATTAAGCTTCACAATTTCGGGTGGTGTATTTGGATTATTGTTTTGTAATAACATTATCAGATCATCTTTAGATATTCTGATTTTCCTACTATTACCAATATACTTAATAATAACTTGTATTCCTTCTTGTGCAAGTCGAAATGGACAATCCATATTCTTATTATCACAACGTACAAATGATTTAACACCAGTATTTATCAATTTTATTTGATCTTCATTAGACAACACAACATTACGTATTTCAGGTGATGTGTAATAAATGTTTTTCTTCTTTCTACCAATACATCGTACCAACAAACACCGAGGATCCAAATCGTCAGATATATCGTAAAATTTTCTGAAAATTTTTTTTCGATATTAAGAATCAATTAATAGTAATAAATAAAATTAATAATAATTAATAAATAAAACATTATAAAAAAATATTCACTTACTTAATGGATAACCATACATCTTCATCCTCTTTAAAATAAACAAATGGATCTTCTTTAAACCCAGAAGCAATTCTTCTACGTTTTTGTTTAGCAATTCGTAACCTGTTCATTTCATCAAACGTTTTGGTAGTATGAACATTTTTCTTTGCTTCTTCTTCTTCTAAAGTTAATTCATTATTACTTTCTTGACAATTAAAATTCTGGATTGATTCGTCTTTAATATGTGATACACGTTCCCAAGGTAAATGATTTACCTTTTCCAAAACAGCCACAAAAAAACCTCCTGTATCTTGATGATGTGGTAATATTCTCATACTATATCATTAAAAACTTATTATCATACGTTTAAATCAAAAACATTAATAAGAAAATCTATTTCTATTTACCATCTTTCAAAGTGAAATTTAGCTGCATCCTCAGGTTTTGGTGGAAACATTTTCGGACGAACTTGTGTTTGCCATTGTTCAGGTACATCTTCCCATGATTCATAATATTGTAAATCTTTTGATGCTGGTAACCAATGTGATATACCTAAAAAAAATATTCATTAATTTTTTTAGAAAAAGAGAAATTTTAAAATGTAATATGTAATATACAATACCTGGATCGCATACTAATCCAGGTACTAAATGTCTGCAATCAACTAATTGCACAGAATCTTGTGTTTCAACAAGAATCCTGTGAAGTACAGCTTCATTTTCTATTGGATTTAGCGAACAAGTGGAATATACCATTTTTCCTCCAACTGTTAGAAGTTCTAAACCTCTTCTTACTATTCTAAATTGAATTCTTTAAATTCATAGATATAAATTATTTTTATCTATTGAATTATCATAATTGTTATATTAATATAAATACAAATCATGTAAAATAATATTTACCCATGAAGATTGTTACCATTTGCTGGACTCCATTTACACCAAATATCTGGATTTTTTCTCATTGTGCCATCGCCACTACATGGTACATCAGCAAGTATTCTATCAAATCTATAACAAAATATAAAAATCATTAAAATCTTTAATGAAAATAGAAATATTTTATTCCATGTAATTTACTGACTTTAATAGTTCTTTTGTACCATCTGGTTTAGTAGTAGTAAAATTAGGCAATATTGTAGCATCATGATTTGTAATTAAAACAATTGGACTGTTTAATCTTTTCGATTGATGTACAAGCATGTAACATCGATTATTATCAAGATCATTAGCTATTACAAAACCTTCTATAAAAGATAAAGATAAATGAAATTTGCATCATTTGTTTATAAATATTTTAAATTTCATTTTAATACCTGGAAGTGAATTTCCTTCTTCGGTATGTATCATTTCAATAAGTTGAGCTGTTTTTGATCCTGGTGCTGCACACATATCTAAAACCTATATTAAAATTATTTCTTTTTTAAGTTCAAAATTAAATTTATTATAATATTAAAATTACCTTATGGGATGGTTTTACATCTAATACCAAAGGTGGTACCATACTAACTACTTCCTGTCTACTAATATTTCCACTTTCTGTTTCAACAATTAAAAAATTATGTAATCTAAAATAAGCTTCAGATCTTCTAATATCTTTTCTAGTTAATTGTAATTGCCAAGCTAATCCATCAGGATAAAATGGTAAACAATGTAATATATCCTTAGTCTCCTCATTATTTTTAGAGTCATCTTCCATATGCATATTTAAAATTTCCTTAAAAAAATCTCCTTTAATAGTTTCCATTAATGCTTTAGCTTCTACTTTTGAACCTGTAATTCTAAATGCTACTGGAAGATTCTTTCTCATAGTATTGATAAAAGAATCCCATTGTTCTTCAGGAACAATTTTTTGAGTTTTGTAATAATTTTCAAAATCCTTATTTTCCCTGATAATATCTGCATAATTATGACGTGGTGCAATATCCCATTCATCCTTCTTCTGTTAAAGAAAATATTAAAAAATATTAAAAAATATTAAAAAATTTATATATTACTACATATAAACAACAACTTTTTTTAATAATTAAATTTTGTTTATTTTTAATATGTACACTATTGATAAATGCTATATATAATAATAAACATAACCGTAAATTGTAACCGGTATTATTTTTTTCAACAATTAATGTTCATACCTTTTGTTTTTCACGACGTTTTTCTGCGAAATTTTTTTTTTGCTTATGTTTTCGGTTTCTTGCCATTGTTGTATCTAGAAAAACTATATAATATCAGTCACTCAATCACTTAACACGTGTTCCCTAAGTAGCAACAAATAATGACAAGATTACTGCCACGGACAATATATAGAATAGATCTATCACTTAATATTTTTTATCCTATATTTTAAAGAAGTTCTAAAGCCATTTAAAGTTTCTTCATCATTTTAATATTTTTAATGTTACTGATTCGATTTAGAATAATTGCAATAACGATTAAAATTGAAGCTAAATTTGAATATCATAAAGAATTTTTAATATTGTTTATTTTATATTATATTTTATATATTTTATATACTATATATATTTTATCTTTTCATATTTCATGATATATTTTATATGAATTATTTTGTATTTTTATATTTTCCATTTATATTTTAAATATATTTTTATATCTTTATATTTTTCATCTGCTTTTTTGTCAATAAATTTCTTTTTTCATGATTTTTGACACAGCATTTTGTCATTTTTTTATTTAAATATACTTGTATACAAATTACTCTATAATACTTCTCAAACAATCTAACATTATTATACAATTTTTATTGCGTTTATTCTTTTTATATTACAAATTTCTAAATAAGGGCATTCGGTTGATAATTAAATATCTATCAAAAAGTTTTGGAAATTAGCGCCATCTCGCGTTTGAATTATCGAAATTCCGACTTGTTACTAGGATAGCAGAATATACGAGAAAGTATTTCCAGTCATAAGGAAAGTAACATTATGCGAAAAGAATAGAAAATCTCCTATCATTTCGAGAATTACATGAAAAATTCATTAATAATTTATTTTCTAATAAAAATTGACATTTTTGAAATCACATTTTGAAACTAGGCAAGTTTCTCGTATCAACTTTAATATAAAATTCTATTCAATTAATTAATCATTAACTATTAATGCTTCGTTCTAACGTTGATGTATTGAAAATTTCTTAATTATTCGTTTTTTTCTGAAAATTTCAGTACTTTTAAAGTTTCATTTTAAAGCTAAAACTTCAGTTAAATTTCTCATATCAATTTTAATACAAAATTATTAATTCTTTTTCCTGATTAACAATCTTAAAAATCTTAAATCTAATAATTCTTGAATATAATTTTAAATGCACAAACTTTCAATTTTAGAATTATTGTTTTAATAAATATATGTTCTTTTTCTCTCAAGATGATAGATATAAATATAAGCAACAAATGAACAGTAGATATATTAAAGTATATAATTTATATGATTCATATAAAATATACATATAAATTCATAATTAAAAATATCAGTGTGACTATACACACACATTTATAAAATATCTAAAATATATATAACATGTTTTGTATACGAGGTTACGCACATGCGCTGAGCATATGTTTGTATATATAAGTACTTATTTGTTAGTTCATTAAATGACAATCATTGACGAATGTTTGATGAATGAACGTGAACACGTCAACAGAGCACGTTGTTGACAGAATATGATCGAGTAAACTATGAGGTATATGTGTGTATGAAGTGGAAATGTAAGGTAGAAAGGTAAGGAAAAGTAAATATCTTACAGGTTATCTGTCGCACTTGGCATCGGTTGAGCAGGCAATGTAAATAGGTAAAGAAGAGCCATCGCAGTATCCGTAAAATTGTTGCGCTTGCAATTGGGACTGCGATTGTGGTTGAGTTTGCGCTAAAAGAGTGTGCATAAGGTGCACTGGTGGTTGAACCAAAGGCATCATTTGGTGCGACATTGTTGGAATACAAGGAGCTATCGCGTTATTTCCACGATCTAACGTGGATTCGTTATACGATCCGAGATAAAGCTCGTGATTGATCTTGCCTGAATAGGCGCTAGCGGGTCTAACCATCGAGGCATCAGGGATACTGCTAGTCGCTGCCGCTACAGCTAAACGCGTCTGATCGATTCGATTGGAGGACCATCTGAAACGGCACACGCAGATTACGATCACAATCAATGCTATAAACGCGACAACTCCTCCTACGATACCGATAATCAGTGTGTCGTCAGTGCCGGTGGAAGATCCGGCTGGCGAAGAAGTGGCGTGATCGTTATTGTAATGTTTATTGCGATCGGCGTTTTGTACCGCAGGTGCTACTGTCCAAATAATCTCGGGTTCCGAAAATGTCGATCTGATTGTAGACGAAGGAGAAGACGAGGCAACGAGAACGTGGTTAGTCGCGGTGTTATCGTCGACAAGCTCGTCAACAGAGGTATAAGAGGTGAAATCACATGACAATCGATGTTCAGCGAGACTGGTGAGCGACGAGCCAACTAAATTGGCAGGAGCGGAACAGAGAACGAGATTCGAAGGATCATCATTACCGACCGTTTTCAACCATTTCCAGAGATGCCTTGCGTCGCAATTACAGTCAATCGGATTGTATCGAAGCCCCTTGATCTTCACCGTACCGGTTCGTTCGTCAAGCGCTGAAAGAAATTGGCCAGATAAAGTGGTAAATTTGCTACCGGAGATGTCAAGTTCCAGTTCGGTTGAGCGTGGTACCGGAAAGAAAAGAGCGGCAGGCATCGAGTCAACGGAAGTGTTTTTGAGACCGAACACTAGCTTAGGTCCTCTGACACCGACCAACGAACTGGACAAAATATTCCTGAGCCTGTCTCCTCGTAAAATTACCTCCTTGAGCCGAGGATGCGAACGTATCGATAGTTGTTCATTGCTTATCGATGAATCTTTGATCTCAATGTCCAACAGTTCCAAATTATTCATTCCTTTCAGAATACCTTGAACGTCGAAATAGCCCAATTTTGGATAATCGTAGGCTATCAAGGAACGAAGCTTTCCGAATGATTTGAATGCATTCCGCTCGATTCTCGTACAATTATGCAGACTGGACATCTTCAGAAACCGTAAACTGATCAAGCTATTGAAACTGGTTTCGTTGACAATCTTCACGTGATTGTTGGATACGTCCAGCCAGCGGAGGGCTGGTAACGCTTGAAACGTTTGATTCATGTTCGAAAAATCCGACAATTTGTTCCTCGAGATATCCAACGTTTCGAGCATGGTAGCACGTTCAAGGGTGCTTACTTTGAGCTCGGTCAAGTCGTTCCTGGAAAGATTGAGCCGCTTCAAGAAAGGTGTCTCGAGTCTCACCATCAGACGGTTGATCCCAGTATTGGCCAAGTTCAACGATCGAAGAATCTTCGCTTCTCCCAATATTCCCTTAATCGCGTTTGCGCTCAACGGATTGTCCGATAGATCCAATTCCTTCACATTGCTTGCAACCTCCTGGCTAAACAATTCGACCATTTTATTTCGGGCAAGGTTCAAACTGGAAAGAGAGGCGGTCTGTCGTTGCAAAGATCTAATCGGAATTTCGTTTAATCGATTTCCAGACAAATCGATACTTTCCACGGAACGGACTCTGGTTGGATCGAATATCGTTTCCGGAAGTGAGGTTAAACGATTGTCCCGAAGGTTGAGATGTTCCAAACGGAGCAGGCCCTCCATCGTTCTCTCGCTCAGAGCCTCGATGTCGTTCCCTGACAAATCAAGCAATTGGAGCTGCGTGGAATTATGGAAAGCAAGCTCGTTGAGCGACTCAATCCGGTTTGCGGCGAGGTTCAGCGTTCGAAGCCGAATGAGTTGAGAAAAGGCAAACTCGTCGACGGATTTCAACTCGTTTCCCGATAAATTTAACCATTCAAGAAATTGCAAAGGTTTCAAATAGTCGCTTGGAAAGTAGAGAAATCGGTTATCGGAGAGATCAAGCTCCCTTAATCTTGGATGAATAGCGAAAGCGGTCGGTGACAATCGATCTATTCGGTTTGAAGATAAATCAAGACTCTCCAACCCGGTTCCGGTATCGAAATGCTCCCCGGAAAACGAACTCAACCTGTTTCCTCGTAAATTTAACTCGTACAGATTGGTCAATCCTACGAAAGCCTCGTTCTCGATATGCTCGATAAGGTTCCCGGACAAGTCGATTCTCGAGAGGTTCACTAGCCGATCGAACGTGGCCTTCTCAATTTTTTCCAACCGATTTCCAGCGACCGATATCCTTTCGAGCGATTCGAGATTTCGAAACAAAATTGAGGGCAGTATGTTTAAATCTGTGCGCGATACGTCGAGATCGATCACAGAAGACGGAAAAACAGGCGGGAAACCACCGTAGAGAGGATTTGAGCTTAGGTTGAGATATCGTACCCTTTCCAAGTAATCGAATGTTTCTGGGGGGATTCGCGTTAACCGATTACCGGATAAATCGAGGGAGATCAACCGTCTTAAAGGAAGTTGGCCGATCGAAGTCAGCCTGTTCGAGGACACGTCCAATTCAAGCAACGTTTCTTCCAATCCGACAAATGTGTCGCGTGCTATCCTTGACAACATGTTCCCAGACAACTCGATGCTCGTCAACTCTTGAAAATCTTGAAATAATCCAGCAGGTATTTCTCGAACAAGATTTCGAGTGAGTGCCAACGTTGCAAGAGTTGAGGCTGTCGCTTCGATCAACTCGATCGGGAGAGCAGCAACTCGATTGAACTCCAAATGTAGATGAGTTAATGATGGTAATTTTGTCAAAGCGGTAGCTGGTACTAACAAGATGTTGTTGTCTTGCAACGAGAGCCATTTTAACTTTTTCAAACCATTAAACGATGATTCCTCGATCTGTAAAAATAAAATTGTGTTCTTTTCTGTTTTTTTTTTTTCTCTCTCTCATTCCCTTTCATTCTTCGTGCATACCGTGCGTAATGCGTTCAAACTCAAATCAAGCCTGGTCAATTCTGATAATTTCGAAAATGTATTGAAACCTAGCCGACCGATATTGTTTCGGCTAAGATCCAGCACCTGAAGCTCTCCTAAAGTTGATAAATGCCCATGCTCGATCTCCTAGAAGGAAAATCATGATCAGCATCATCTTTTCCTCTTTTCTTTTCCAGAACAAACGAAAATGTAAATCATCACTTACATCGATCAAATTGTTCGATAGATTGAGAAATTTTAATTCCGTTAAATGTCTTAACGCGTCACTTGGAAATTCTCGCAGAAAATTTGTCGACAAATCCAACTGCAATAAATTGTAAGCTCCTAAAAAATAATCACTGTTCTATAATTTTTTATTAATTCGTATGAATAGTTTATTTTTTTCCTTTATCTTTTCTTCTTTATTAACTTTTTCATAATAGAACATGCACGTACCTTTAAAAACGTCACTATTAAAGCGGCTAAGATCGTTGCGAGAAATATTTAACAAAAATAATCGTTCAAGACCCAAAAGTGCACCATCCTCCATATGAGACAATTCGTTTTCACTTAAATCTAATCGTAACAGCGATTCGCCTAGCATCAACAAAGCGGCACGTGGAAGTGATCCTAAAAAGAAATATGAGAAAGAATCATTAAATTCGTTCATCGGATCGTTTTTATTGTTTCTTCTTCTTTTTTTTTTTTTTTTTTTTTTTTGCCCACCAATATTGTTTCCAGAAAGAGAAAGTACTCTAAGAGACTTGGGTCCTTTTAATGACATTGTCGGTATTGTCGTCAAGTTATTGCCATTTAAATAAAGTTGTTCCAGATTCTCGCATCCTTTAAAGATGCCTTCTTCTAAGCTTCGAAGTCCATTTCTAGACAAATCGAGTAATCTCAGTTCTTTCATACCGTGGAACTCGTTACTCGAGAATATCGGATTCAGATTATCGCCCAAAAAATTATCGGCAAGTCTTAATTCTTCTAATTGAGTCTGTGCTTGAAGGGATCGACCCATCAATTTATAAATCGAATTATCAGATAGATCGAGTTTCTTTAAATTTAAACCGGAATTGAGCAAATCTTCTGGTAAATTTTGATATCCGCTGTTCCTTTGACTCATGGAAACGATCGGTTGTCCTTTTAAACTGTCCGTAGTACTCCGCGTAAACACCACTTGATCGCAATTCATTTCGATCGATCCGATGTAGTCTGTTGAGATGGAACATTTGCACGGGATATGTAAATCCCGTTTCAACTCGACGCACGGTATCCATTTCGTTTCTCTCGTCAGAACAATGTTAAAAAATGAACAAATAATTATCGCCAAACAGTACCTGAAAACGATATATTATAATCATATTATGTTACTAATCATGTTTATTTTTTTTCATTTATTCGCACGAAAAAAGGACGAAAAAACCGAAATGAGAAAAAAAACGAGTAACGAGAAAAAAAAACAAGAAGAGAAAGAATGAGAAAGCGAAGCGGTTGCAGAGGCGAGAGTATAGTATATCTACACATAACGGTGATTTCGTTTTCCGTTTTAGTCAAATCGTCGCATACGGTAATGATGCAACAAGTTCGATTTGAAATGTGTACAGATAACACTCGAGATTTGATTTCGATTTGAATACATTAAAAAAATGAAATTCGAACACATAGCACGAATCAAAGTTACCACGTCGACCACATCGCGCGCGATTACGCGCAAAGAAGAACAGGTTTAAAGATGAAACGAGTCGAGAAGGCGCGCGACCTCGAAGGAATTTTATGCGTCAGGTTCTTCGTCACAACTATGTGGTCCGACTAGATTAATACGCGACACAATTCTTCACTTGCTCTCATCTACTCACTTCTGCTTATTTCTACTCGTTTTCCATTCGAAGAATCATTCGGTTTTGTTTAGCACATTATATATCGCGTATAAGAGTAAACGCTTTACTAATTTCATCTTCGTAAATTTGTCTTTTATTATTAGTGATCGTGTATTAACAAAATCATAAGATCTTCAGGAAAAAGCATATCGTAGAGCTATTTCTTTGCCGAAAGGGCAACTTACGTTTTTATCATATTCGTTATTTTGCACCGTATTGATATTTATCTGAATAAAACATCACCATTCAAATCGATCAGTTAAGTTGTTTAAAGTAAACTGAATCACTAATAATCCCGCTTCATCGTTTAACTATATAACCACGGCCGTCTAATTAGCCGGGTTTTTTTTTCTTGAAATTCACTCGCGTTCGTTTAAAAATCGATAATCATTGATTTATTGTATCAATTATTCTATTCTATCAATTTCTTGTGTGCTTTAAATTTTCACATGATTCAACTTATCTCGTATTTTTTTGATCTCAAAAGAAACAAAGTGGAAGGTACCGCAATCGAACCGATTAAAATATTAAAATATAAATTATCAAGAAGTTAAAATACAAATACAATATTAAACTCATCAAAAATCAAAAATTGCAATCAACACAAAAAGGAAAAAACACAGAAAACTAATAAGCACGTTGTATTGTCTTTCTCAATAGACAAGACAGTACAGTAGATTCGCAGATGGAGACTTAACGGGGTTACCTACGTTCGAGATACTACCTCGACTTACAGCGAGATTCTCCCAGGTAGGGGAAACGGTAAAGAATCGAATGAACGGTATACGAAACATGCCTTTGTATATCATATATACATATGTATGTATGTAGTACAGGCAGTTTAAGAAAAGAATGCGAAACGTAATTGAATGAACGTAAGAATGTTTTATCAGAAAACCTTTCACTGCTACTATGTTCATCTAGTATTTCATTTAAATTTTTACTCTTTTCTATTTCATTTTATTTTTTCAAATTTATAATCAAATATTTTTCTTAAACAAGATTATTTATTCTTAATTTTTATCAAAATTATTCAGTAATTCAATTCTATATTTTTTATATTTATTCTATTTCTTCGGATATATTTTTATTTGATTTAATACAATATGAATTTATCTTCAATTCAATATTGAATAATATAGTATATATATATATATATATATATTTCAGCAATAATTCCTTACTATTGTAATCGCATTTCTTATAAGTTCTTTATTGCGCCAATCAATTCTAATATACTAGATAGAATAAATTTCAATCGAAAGGTTATATTTATTATTTTGTTAATTGCGAGATTTAAAAATCATTTTATATATAATATGAATCATTGTAACATTATTTATGTTGTTAAAAATATAAAAGTGATAAAATGATTTTTCATGTGTATCTTTTGCAATATTTCATGTGGAATCTTCGCCATCATATATTTGTGTTTGATACGAATCGATTCAATAACACTTTAAATAGGTTTAAAACATAGTTAATATTCTTAATATTCATAAAATCATATCCATAAAATAATATTTGATTAAAATAATATTTGATTTTTCATTTCGGTAAAAATGTTATTAATGTTAACTGCCGATTGTTTTCCTTTGGGTCGAGATGTATATTTTAGGTAATAAAAATGTGAGGTTATCATATTCTGACATAAATTTATATATAAGAAAATAAAAAAAATAATCTTTTTTTAGAAAATTTGAATTATATCCATTATCTTTTCAACATGAAGTTTCAAATAATAACATGCTGGTGGCTGCTCCTTATGGAGGTTCTATTGCAGTCACTAGAAATCCTAAAAAATTAGTTAAAGTACAAGGAGCAAATAAACCTATGATATATTTGTACACTTCTTCTGGAAAATTAACAGCCAAATTGCAAGTAAAAATTTCAAAAATTATATTTTTCAATTAATATTATACATTAAAATTTTTTTTTCATATTTATTTTTCTTTATTTTCATTACTTTTGTTAGTGGAGTGGTGCTCAATTAATCCTTTTGGGTTGGTCTCAACAAGAAGAATTATTATGTGTAGAAGATGATGGCATGATTCATATATATGATATGTTTGGTACATATCTACATGCTTTTAGTATGGGAAATGTATGATATTTTCTGTTTGATTAAAGATTAAGGATTATTTATATAAAATATTATAATCATGATACTTCTAACTAGGAGGTAAAAGATACTAAAGTTGTGGAAGCAAAATTTTTTGTCAGTTATAGTGGAACTGGTATTGCAGTTTTAACATCTACCAATCGTATATTTTTAGTAAATAATATAGCTGAACCAAAAGTTAGACAAATATCAGAAATTCCTAGTAAGTAAATAAATTTTATTCAATATTTTTAAATTAAGGATTAAATTTTTATTATCAGTATATTTTTTTTTATTTTCAGGATATGGAGGACAAATTGAATGTTGGTATTTAGTCCACTGCGACAGAGAAACACGTGTAATTTTATCAAATAGAGATGGAATATTTGTGATACATCAATCTTATCAAACTGCAACACATATACCATTTGTATAATATAAATGCTTTCAATATTGAAATACAAAAAAAAATATGTCTATAATGTTTAGAAGATTTTTATGTTTTTAGGACAATCTTTTTACCAGATATAATAAAGTAAATAGTGTGATTGCAATGGCTGTATCTGGAAACAATCGTCATATTGCTCTTTATACAGACACTGGTCATTTGTATATGGGTTCTATAGATTTTAATGAAAAATATTGCGAACATTATACAAATATGAAAGAATCATTAGAAAACATAGCATGGTTAATATATTTGCATAATTTTCCTATGTTATGATTTTTTTTTGATTATTTGATTTTTTTTATTTTTTTTTTTTTTTTGATTATAAATTGATTTATTTCATAAATAAACTTTTAGGTGTGGAACAGAAGCTGTAATATGTAGTTGGAATAGTACCGTAATGGTAATTGGACGAACAGCCGAAACTATAACATACACATATGATGGTCCAGTTCATCTTATTACAGAAATTGATGGTGTACGCGTATTATCTGGTTCTTCTCATGAAATGATACAAAAAGTACCGAATGTTGTACAAAAGATATTTCAAATTAATTCAACTGATCCTGCATCTTATTTATTAGAAGCTTCTAAACAATTTCAAAGAAGAAGTCACAAAGCTGATGGTTATATGGATTTAGTTAAAGATAAATTAGATGCAGCAATAAAAGCTTGCATTGATGGAGCTAGTCATGAATTTGATTTTGAAACGCAAAAACTTTTAATGAAGGTAAACTCATTGAGTGTTATTTATATTTTTTCACTTTTCATTATTATTAATAATAATTTTATAGGCTGCAAAATTTGGAAAAGGATTTAGTAAAACAATTGATCCTGAATATTACGTTAATATGTGTCGAACTTTAAGAGTTTTAAATGCTGTGAGGCATCCTGCCATTGGAATTCCACTAACATATACACAGTATCTTTTTATTAACGAATAATATTTAATAGTTGTTGAACAATTCAATCATTTCATATTTTCTTCAATTTTATTATTTTCTATAATAAAAGAATACCTTAATGGCGATAGATTCACTGTTCTCACGAGCCAAGTATTGTTGGATAGACTTGTTGCTAGACGACATTACTATTTAAGTATACAAATTGCACGGCATCTTCAATTACCAGAAATCGAAGGGGAAAGTCGAATATTAGCTCATTGGGCTTGCTACAAAGTAATATTTGTTGTTATGTTTCATTTACTCAAACGATATTTACATGAATATAAATTTTGTAATAATATCTATATTTATAATAATATCTAAATTTTATAATAATAATAAATATCTATTTATTTATTATTTTTTTATAATAGGTAAAACAAACACAGTTAGATAAAGAACAAATAGCAGAAGAAATAGCTGATAAATTAGGCTATGCGCCTGGTGTTTCTTATAGCGAAATTGCAAGAAGAGCAGCTGACTGTGGTCGAAAACAATTAGCAATTAAGGTAGACTAAATTAGTCTAGTTATTAACTAACTAATCCAAATTGTTCTTTGTTTATTTGTATCTTTTTAGCTAATAGATTACGAACCACGTGCACAACAACAAGTACCACTTTTACTAACGCTTGGTGAAGAAAAAGCTGCTTTACGTAAAGCAGTTGAAAGTGGAAATACCGATTTAGTTTATACTGTAATACTTCATCTCAGAGAAAATATGCCTCTTGGTGATTTTCAGGTATAATTTTATTGATTTTGATTGATTTAGAGATGCTTAATATTTTTTTCATTAATTTTCCCCAGATGTCGATAATGCATTGTCCTTTAGCAATGGCTTTATATATTAAATATTGTCAGAATCATAACCGAGAAACACTTCGCGATATTTATAATCAATACGATGATTTTCATTCTCAAGCAATATGGTTTATTACCGAGAGTTATCAGCGAAAGGTTTGCAACAATTAATATGATCAATTATTAATGATATATGTAACTATTTTATTATTTCATAGTATTCTTTAGAATGTAATGTCGAGAGAAGCATTATTACAATCCGCACAGGAAAATTTTAAATTAGCTCGTAATGATACTAATGCCACTTTGACAGAAGAGCAAATAAAATTGTTACGTTATCAAAGGTCTATGGAAGACACATTACAAGAAATAATTGTAGGAAAACCACTTCATGATACTGTAAAAATATTATTATTGCGCAATGAGTTAAAGTTAGCCGACAAATTGAAATCAGAATATCGAATATCAGATCGAAGGTATGATGTATTTTACATATTTTGTATATTTTAAATTTTGCGTATTTTAATATTTTCTTTTGATATCATTATCTATATGAATAGTATAAAAAGTTTTTTTTAGATATTGGTGGCTACGAATACAGTGTTTGGCAGAACAAGGTGCATGGAATGAATTAGAAAAATTTTCTAAAAGTAAAAAATCACCTATTGGTTATGAGGTATGTTCGCACAATATTAAATATATTTCATTTATCATTATCGATATATAAATGTGTTGTTTCTTTTTCTCATTTATTTTAGCCCTTTATTGATGAGTGCTTAAAATATAATAAAGACAGAGAAGCGAAAAAATATTTATCTAAAGTAAAAAATGAATTGAAAGTAAAATATTTGGTTAAATTAAAGTAAGTAACATATAATTTAATATATAATTGTTAACATGATATAATTATTATGAAATCATAAAAAATATAATAAAATAAAAAACATTTTTGCAGAATGATAAATGAGGCAGTTCAAACAGCAGTAGAACAAAAAGATGTTATAGCATTAACTTTTTTATTAGCACAATGTGAAACAACAGATAGGCAATTGATTGATAAAATCAATATGCATATAACAAGTCTCAAAAATTAATATTCTATTACTTTCAATCTAGCTTTAAATCATCAATTAATTAAGAGAAATATTATATATACATTCCAAAATTAAATATCCAAACTGATATAAAATAATAGAATATCATGAAAAATATGACAACAAAGATTCTTAAATATGTATGTAAACTTAATTTATGTTCATTTTAAGATGTAAATAATATGTAAAAAATATAATAGAGTTAATATTTTCTAATTTATCTTTTAAAATTTCATAATATGACAACATATTAATTTATAATACTAAATTATTAATTAACGATAAAAAAATACAAAATACAATCGTTTAATATTTATTCAACATTGTATTTAATATTTATTCAATACATTAAAATGCATTTTATCAATTTAATATACATAAACAAAATGTTCATCAACACTCACATTGTTCAGTAGATTGTATAAAAATTTGATGTTTTTCAATGAGATTATTAACAATCAATTGCTCAATTTCTTCACCTTTATTTAATTGTTCATTAGTAAGAGAAATAATATAGATGTCCTCTTGACTAACAAATATTACTTTCTGTTTTCGAGTGTGCAATACATTGGCTATAACTAACTGCAGGAAAATGTTTCAATGTGTAAAAAAAATAAGTTTCAGATTTTTTTTTATATAATTAAATAATACTAATATTTCATTAATATTACTCACATTGTGTTTATATTTATTTAATGCATCTCTTGCTTTTGAAATTAGAAGATTGTCTTCAGTTTCTAATTTGAAAGATACCACAAAAGCTTCTGGAACCCATAAACTTACAAGAGGGGCTAAGATTTTTGGTACTAATTGAAGAGATATTGTTGGTGGTCCAGTAGAAGGAATTTTATGAACTGCCTGAAAAAAATCATTTATATATGTGTATATCAATGTTTATGTTTACTTATTCTTATAGAAAATTTAATTAAAAAAATATATACCAATTCATTAGATGGAATATAAAAATCTGAAACTGCAGCTGCTAGATATAAAATTGCTTTATTTTTAAGAGGCGCTAATGCTTGACAAGCAGATCGAAGAAGCCAAAGATATTCGGAAAGAGTAGTGAAAGTGATTTGTAACAATTTATCTTGATTTAAAGTTTCTTTGTATTTATGAAATATTTTTACTAAATTTTCTGTATATTGTGGTAAAACTAAAAATAATCATATCATTATCATTTCAAATGTATAAGTGATTTTCATAAGTGATTTTTTGTAATATAAAAGAAATGTATACCTGTAACTATACATTTTTCATTTTGTTTATTGATTTCTATCATATCTAAAATTTTCTGTCCTTTAAAATGTCTTGAAAATGGTTCCAAGGAATTAGCTCTACAAATGGGTAAATTATATATAGATATTAACTTAAAATATACAAATATGTTCATAAACATTTATTGATATAAAGTACCTATACACAAAAATTACACAATATCCATTTTCTAGAAAGTATTCTGCAGATACAGATCCTCTTGTTCCTGCACTAAAATTATCTACAAACCTTACTGTATTGTGTTCTAGAGGTATTGTTGTCCCACCACTCTATAAAATTATATATATTTTTTTTATATATATTATATTATATTTATATATTTTTATATATAATTTTAAGTAATAATGACTTAACATATAACATTTTGTGAACACTCACTGTTATTAATACAACCATATTATTCTTTTTCAATTGTCGTTGTACAAATGCTTTTAATAATTTTTCACTTTGATCAAAATCTTGAGGTGGTGGATGGATAGCATAAAAATCTTCCCAAGTTGTATTCATATTATATATATAATAATAAGGATTTCAAAAAAAAATCTTAAATGTTTCAATTAAAAAATTATATCAATAAAAATATTTTAACTAAAATTTCAAAATTTATATAATTAATTTCACATGTAAATTTTAAAATAAATGATAAAAATATATTATATTTTTTATTAAATTACGTTCCACTTATTATTAATAAAATGCATCTGTAATCCTTTAATCTTACTTATCTTTCTAATCAGTATCTATCTGTTTCGAGCGTGACATCACAAATTTTACAAATAAATTAATTTATTTTCAGAAAAAACTATTATCACAAATACATATTTGTTTTAACCAATAAAATATTTTGCATATATAAATGTTAAAGAAAAACTCAAATTTTAAAAATGTCTAATTTAACAATATTTTTATGTATACGTTATATTCAAATGATTTGAATGAATTTCATTATTTATAAGAAAATAAAAATCTTAACTAAATTGTGATTGATATACGCGCTCTCTTGCGATACATTTGGTAATTTAATACATATGCAATCGATAAAAATGTTTTGTTACGTTAGTATTTCAAACATCATGATTATTCATAACCTAATTCAAATTTTGCTTTGACGACTATTTTTGTGTAATTGGTCGCATATAATAATATATATAATTGATTATGACATAAAAATACTTTAGCTGGAAATGTATATGCAATGAATTTATATATATAATTATATATATATATATATATAAAATTACGACATAGGAAATAAAATAATTAAATATATATTAATTTATTTTTATAATAAATTCTATATAAATTATAAAATAAAGAATATAAACTTTATTGATATTTAAATTTTTATTTCTTAAATATTATTTAATTTTTTATAATACAAGTTTTGTAAAATATTTTAATGACATTAACAACAAATTAATCTAATTTAAAATAATATAAAGTATAAATTAATTTGATTTCTACATTTCTTAATTATTTTCTTTAGTTAAGACTACCTTAATATATGCTTTTAATATTTAATATTGTGGAGGTGTTGCTCTATACTTAGTTGTATCACGAATGTTAATAAACTGAAAATAAAAATGAAAAAGATCAGATAATTATATAAATTTTAGATAATTAATTATTTAAAATTTTTGTTAGTCAATTTTATTACTTTGTTTGATATTAAAATTGAAATTATTTTTTAATCATATTATTTTTATCATTCTCGTTATATGTTCAACATACCTTATAATCTTTATCTTTATATTCATTCCATGGTTCAGGATTGGTTCTAGTATTCCACGTAACATCAGGACTTCGGAGTGCAAGGCGTAATAAATAACCTGTAGCAGCAAATGCTCCAAATCCGATGCAGAAAAATAATGGCAATAACTAAAGAAAAATCAATAATAATTTTCAAATCATATGACTTTTAAAACTATTTTTTCACATACCATAGAATTCTTTTTCAGAGATTCTTTTGTAAGACCTTGCATTTTACCACTTAACATTTTGCTACGTATTAATATTAAAATAAACTGCAGCAAACGATCTTTATCTTACAAATATTCATATGCAATTGACTATATAATAATAAGATACTTACTTAAATATCGAATGAAATTTTCATAAAAATGAACCCTTAAGTATTTTAAGCATTGATATTAAACTTTATAGATTTACAGTGCGATATTTATTAGAAAATTACAATATTAATAATTTAAAAAAAATTTTAATTAATAAAATTGCATATTGAAATAAAAAAAATAAAATAAATTTTTTTCATAATATAATTTCAAAAAAGAGAAAATAAATTATTATTCATGTCTTTAATATATTATTAAGATTTTATACATTGGTTTCTATTTTTATCAAAGTTAAATTGATCATCTATTTTATTTATTGTTTCATGACGGTATTTCTGGAATAAAAGTAAATTTTTGCACTTTGAGGTCTGTATAAATATAAGTGTTGATCTCAGCCAAGTGAGTTGTAGTAGAGATATATAATAATCTGATTAAATAATGTATACATAAATCTGTGTTTGCAATGTAATATTTCGATGAATGATTCATTGAGGTTCATTAGATTCTTTGCTAACATTAATGTCACTACATTTGTCTAGCATAAGAATGAATTTTTGTTCGTGACACGTCTAAAGAAGTCGGTAAGACGACGATTTTTAGTTTTATATATGATAAGCGGGATGGGTTTTTCTACGAGTTTACAAGGACAGTCATCACATGAGGCGTTACTCGCCCGTCAAGATGCTGAAATTAAACTTCTGGAAACAATGAGACGATGTTTAACGATTAAAGTTAAATCAGATCGCGAATATGCTTCAACGATCTGCTCTTTGACGATGCAAGGGAAAAAGATTGAACGTAATGAAGATCTTGTTGGTAGTCTAATAGCACAAGTATGTGTTCAAAATTGAAATGAATGTTTATAATTTTTCTTAAATATTTATAATAATTTCTCAGAAACATTTGCTTACATAGTACTATATTGTAGAGTTGGAAGGATATCATGGACTCTATTGATCAAACAGCAAAGTTAATCAAACAACAAGCAGATTCTATTGAAGCTATAGTAGTTGAACATATTACAACATTACATTCTGAAAGAAGACGAGCTAGAAAAATATATCAAGAAGAACAAACATGGTTAAATAATCAATTTCAACAGGTATAAATAAATAGTAAAAAGTAATAAATAGTAAATAATAAAATATTAAATTTTATATTACATATTTATTATATCTTGTAGTTAACTGATGATGTTGCCAGGAAAAAATTAGAATATCAGAAAAATCTAGAAATGTATAAATTGATGAGATCCCGTTTTGAAGAACATTATGTTAAATGTAAGTATTTATATTTTATAATTAATTTACAATTAATTGTTATTATTTATAATATATGTTTAGCGGGTAGAGTTGGTAGAAAATTGGATGAAGTAAGAGAAAAATATCAAAAAGCTTGTAGAAAACTTCATCTTACCCACAATGAATATGTACTACTTTTGGGTGCTGTAACTGAGTGTGAGCATGACTTAAGAACTTGTTACTTACCAAGCTTACTTCATCGACAACAGGCAATTCATCAAGAATTTATAACATCATGGTAAGCATTTTGTTTATTCTAAATTCTAAAAAAAATTATTATGTATTTCTTTGTTGTATTCTATGAAATACTTATTTATTTTACATGAAACTTTCATGCAAACATATGGTAATAGAAAAGGTAAACATTAATGATTGTTATAATAATAATATCCATTATATCACAAATATAAAAACATTGTTCTTTACATGATAGGAAAACCATACTTCAGGATATAGTGAAATATTCTGATTTTACAACAGATAAATTTCAAGAAATACATCGGCGAATGCAAAAAGCTGTGGATTGTGTAAAACCTGTAGAAGAATATAGGGATTTTATAGGAAAACATAGGTATTCATTTCATATTTGCTTTTATCAATGTAATTTTTCAAAATAATATTAAAATTTGTTAACATTTGTTATAGAACGCGACCTGCATCTCCAATAAGATTTATTTTTGATGAGAATCTTGTGGATGATACATCGGGAAAATTATTACCAAATAAATTAACAGTAGATAATTTAACTATAGATTGGTTAAGAAATCGATTAACAGAACTAGAAAACTCATTAAAAGCGACTCAACAAAGCCGACAAAACCCACAATATCCATCGGAAAATAATAGCGATTCTAAGTAAGAATATTTTATTTAAGAATAAATTATTATATTTTCATTAATATTGATAATATTAAAGTATATATATATTTTTTTTATTCTTATTATTTATATTTTTATTTTTTTCTTATTTTTTTGTTCATTAGGATATCGATTTTGGATTATTCCCGCGAAAGAGAAGAGTTACGTTTACGTTGTCAAGAAAAAAAACTTCAACGACAAGTGGATGTTATTAGAGCTGCTTTGAATGAATTAGGTTGTGAAGAATTACCACTTGGTTATGATCTCTCAATGGAAAGTTCTTTTGCTGATTCGCCTTCTATTAGTAAGGTAATAGATTAAAATTATATATAAATCGAATATTTTTATATATTATTTAAATATTTTATAATTACCTTGTTAAAAAAAATTATTGTATTACAAATAGTTTTTCGATATAAAACAATTTTATTTGATTGATATTATGATTGATATTAGTTAGCATCACTGCCCTTGCAGAAAAATACAGTTGCAGATATTGGTCTGTTTACATTACGAAGAAATCAACGATTCATGACAATATTTAGATCTCCCTTCAAATCTTTACCAATAATAAACGACACAAAAGATGGAACAATTAGATCGAGTAGCGAAGGTCCTACTCCAAAAGCAGATAATACTCTACCAGTTGTATGTTTTCTTTATATGTTACCCGTTTATTGTAAAGATACAAATATGTTTCATGCATAATTACTTCTTTCTTATCATATATATCAAATGCTTATGAAAGAATGTGTGTCATAAAAAGTTTACAATTGAATTGATAACAATTTTATTTTTGGTTTTTAATATTAAGCATGTTTATCCTGTTTATAAATTACATTCGATTGTTTTTAAAACTAACATTTGTGATGCAATTACGATAATATTACAGATTAGCGATAATAATTACAGGTAATGATAGGTAGAAAAAGAAATTTTGTACTAGGTGTGATAATTCTAAGTGTGATGAATTTTTGTTTATTAAATACAGTATTACATATTATTGTTATAGGCATCTTTTCGGATTTCACATTTAACAACTAATCAGAAGGGAAATGGAAATGGAGGTCTTATGGAAGAAGAATGGTTTCATGGTGTGCTACCAAGAGAAGAAGTTGTTAGATTACTCGTCACTGAAGGAGATTTTTTAGTACGCGAAACAACAAGAAATGATGAGTGCCAAATAGTTTTATCTGTCTGTTGGGATGGACACAAGCATTTTATAGTGCAAACTACTCCTGAAGTAAGCAATTATTTAATTTGATACTATATGTCTATATATAGAGGATACAGAAACAAATGTATTTGTATGTATTTTTATTAATTTTAGGGACATTACAGATTTGAAGGCCCTACGTTTCCATCAATTCAAGAGTTAATCAGACATCAATGGTTATCCGGATTACCAGTTACCAGTCGATCTGGAGCTATCCTCAAAACACCAATTTTACGTGAACGTTGGGAACTTAATAACGATGATGTAATTCTTCTAGAAAAAATAGGACGGGTATTAAAATTTAAAGAAAAAAGAAATTATTTTAGTTTTTTGCATCTCAAAGTATCTTATTGTTATATATTATATATCTTATTGTTACACAAATTATATAATTATATAAATTTAATTTACTTTAATAAATTATAATATTTTAGATTTTTCTAAAATATTAAAAAATGTCAATTCAAAAAATTCACATGAATTATATAAAATTAGATATTCATAAAATATTATATATTTTTAGGGTAACTTCGGAGATGTATATAAAGCTCAATTAAAAACCTGTAAGACTGAGGTGGCTGTAAAAACTTGTAAAGTAACGCTACCGGATGAACAAAAACGTAAATTTTTGCAAGAAGGACGCATATTGAAACAATATGATCATCCAAATATAGTAAAGCTTATTGGAATTTGTGTCCAAAAACAACCTATTATGATTGTTATGGAATTAGTTCCCGGTATGTTGAGTAAATTAATAAATTTAGTAAAAGATTTTAATTTTTAATTTTGGAATTAAAAACTTTTCAAATTATAGAATATAATTGTTTATTAATGCTAAATTAATATGTGATAGGCGGTTCATTGTTAACTTATTTAAGAAAAAATACTAATACTATTACACAACAAGAACAGCTTCGAATGTGTAAAGATGCAGCTGCAGGTATGCGCTATTTGGAATCTAAATATTGTATTCATAGAGACTTAGCTGCTCGGAACTGTCTCGTAGGTAAGAACATTTTGATTTTTAATTATTATAAAAATAATTTACAAAATATATGAATTAGAATACTAAAAATAATATTATATTTTTTAGGATATGAATCTATAGTAAAAATATCAGATTTTGGAATGTCACGAGAAGAAGAAGAATATATAGTTTCAGATGGTATGAAACAAATTCCAATTAAATGGACTGCACCAGAAGCATTAAATTTCGGTATTTAAGAAAATGATATATATTATATAGATATTAAAAACTTTAATATTATTTTTTATTGTAATATTTTCAATAGGCAAGTATACATCACTTTGTGATGTATGGAGTTATGGAATTTTAATGTGGGAGATATTTTCTAAAGGTGGAAATCCTTATAGTGGAATGTCTAATTCTCAAGCTCGCGAAAAGATAGATGCAGGTAATATTTAAATTGCAATATACAATATTTATCACAATATTATTACAGTAGATCACCTATGTAATGCGATTATATATATAATGTATTGTATGAATTCACATTATAACAAATGCTGAACGAGAATTTTTTCGTATAATAATTATTATCATGTCATGTTTTATGTTCTATGTTTCATCAAACAAAACAATTTTTTAAAAAATAATAACATATATGAGTTATTGATTTAAAAATATATATATATGAAGTATTGTCGAATTGTATAATGAAAACAATAATCGCAATATTTTTAACGCATTATAAAAATTTGCATTATATGAGATTTTATTGTATTATATTAATAATATCTAAAACTAAATAGAGTAGAATAGAAAATTTATATAGAATTTAAATAAAGATTTCTTACCTCTAGGTTATCGAATGCCAGCACCAGAAACTACACCTGACGAAATATACCGTTTAATGTTACGATGTTGGGAATATGAACCTGAAAAACGTCCTCATTTCGATCAGATATACACTGTTGTTGAAACACTTTCTCAAGCGTATTTATAAATAATAATAAGCTTAAATTGGTGCTAAAATCTTTGTATCATGAATATTATTCTTTTCACAGTTTATTATAATAATCAATTTTTTCATATAAATCTTATAAAAGTTCAGATTAGAGCTTTAAAAAATAATGTTAAAACATTTGCTAAAAGCGTATACATGATAGATTCATGATTTGCTATGAAAATCTCGCAATAATCTATTTTAAAAGAAAAAATTTTTATACGCGACTAAATAAAGATCTTTATGTATATATATATTAACTTGGAACAGATAATATTATTTTAATTATTAATAATTATAAAATCTTGAATATTTAAATTCAATAAGAAAAAATTTTAATAATTACCATAAGTCATTTATCATAAAATATTCGTTTGTAAATATTATTATTTTTTATCTTTTCTACTAAAATATAAATAATGTATAATAATATTTCAGAATAAATTAATGATTTTACTGGAATTTTAAAAATATATTACATTTAATGAAAATCAAATCAAACAGAATTGAAAGTGAGCTTTTCATAGTGAACCATCGATATTTCTATTTTTTCATTGTATTTATATTATTATCAATAGAAAATATGAATATTTATCATACTATGGTATAATCATATATAAAATTTTATTCAATTTCTTTTAAAATTTGAAAAATCTTTAAGACTATTAGGATGATCCAATATCCATAAATTTTTTATTACTTATTTTTTTCATTTTTTATATTAATATTTCCGCCTTAATTCCTTATGTTATATATCCGTCCAAACGACAATTCAATTTTAATAGCCAGTATTTATTGATAAAACGAAAAATGTTTAATGATGAATTATATTTATTTAGAAGAAATTTTCGCAATAAGCGTAGTAAACACATGTTAAATAATATAAAAAAACAAAATTATTTAATTATGAGTATTAACTCAAAAACATTTATAATTTCATATCATTATTTCCTATGTTTCATTAAAATGAAACTAAATATAAAATAAAACTTTTAAAGCATTATTTATATATGTAACAAATATTGCAAATTTAAAGATTTTTTTTATAATGCATAAGTTATTAATTAATAACTTACAACAATTTTTTTTAATTTTGTTAAAAGTTATAAATCTTATTAGTTATTGCTGTGCAATACGGTGATGCTCAACTATTGAGATGCATTATATAGATTATTTGTATTTAATATGATAATGTGGTTATAGATATCGTATACATGTGTATATTGTGCGAGATGCGTAAGTCATCTTCTAATAAGTCATAACTAGGAGAAAATTTATAAATATTCAAAACAGTGTTGAATTTCTCTATTGTATTATAACAAAGAATAAGTGTTTTATCGTGTGTTATTTGGAAATGAGATTTTAAAAAAACGAGTGTGTTATTTTACAATACTCAATATTATTTTAAGAATTAATAAAACTTATATTAAAGTCTTTTGTAAAGTTAAATATTTATTATTGTCATTGTATAAATAATTTTATTTTTACCTATATTCGTATTAAAATTATTTGTATATGTATTTTGGTGTACAGATGTATATGCACATACATGTTACAAGTATAATTTAATAAGTTCATCACTTACAGCTGAAGGTGTTAATATACCTAAATCAGTAAAGAGAAGACTAATATAATGTGGTGGCGTATAATCAACTAATGGATGTTCTTTCTGCAAATCTTTTTTTAATGTACTTGCTGTATACTGTAAAAGAAAAAACAAAAAAATTTTTTAAATATATTCTATATCTTAATTAAAAATAATAGAAAATTTTAATATTTTACTTTAAACTCATTTGGAAGATCTACTTGATTTAAGGGATATATTCTTGAAAATTTGAAACTCTCTGTTAAGACATAAAATGGTTTCTTTACTTCTTTAGCACACATTGCCATTGTATATGTGCCAACCTATAAATCAATATCAATGAAAATTAAAATTTATATCAGTTAAGAATGATCAATTATCGAAAATTAAGAAAATTATAATATACCTTATTAATAACACCTCCACTTTCTGCAACTCCTTCTGCTCCTACCATGACCATATCAACTTGTTCCATGACATATCCCATTGCAGAATCTAATATTAATGTACAAGATAAACCTAATTTTGTTAAATTTTCATGCATTTCTTCCCTGTCCATTAAAAAAATGAAAAAGATAAGATAAATATATTATACATTAATATTTACATTTTAAGTTATTAAAAAGAATATTTACCCACTATTATCTGGAGAAGAACATGTTACATATACTTCAAATATTTTATTACTTTCAACAGCTTCTTTCATTGCTTGCAATACAACTCTAGATTTTGAATGAGTAAGTATTTTCTGTAATAAACATAATAAAAAAATAGAAAACCAAAAAAAATTTTCATAAAAAAATTCCAAAATAAATGAAAATTACAGAGCCATCCTTAATGAAATGTGCTGCAACTTTTGCTACTTTTCCTCTGGCAGCTACTAATTTCTCATAAAACATTTTGCCTCTATGGAGCATAATACCCTTACATTCTGCAAATGACTAATATAGAATAATATAGATAAATAAATATAAATAATAATATGATTTAAGATTTTGAATATATTCAAGTAATTAACTGATATCATGAATATTAATATTAAAATAAAAAAATTAAAAAAAGGAAAGATTAGAATAAATATTATATAGAAAAAGAGTAAGATTTATGACAAATCATATTAATATATTCTTACAGGAGTATCTAATGTAGCCAAAGTTATAAAACGAAGAAATAATTCACTGCCAGATGCAATGGCAGTTACAGGATTTTCAGTAGATCTCATTGCATCTATTGCATTCTGTAAACAGTATCTAAGCTCTTGAACCGTTTCAGCTACAAAAGAAAAAAGAATATATAATAAAGATATATATTATTTAAAAATCTATTATGTAGTCTTACACTTTGAATACTCTAAAACTTTTAATAGTGTACGTATAGCAGCCATTCCAGCAGAAACATCTTTTTCATCTTTAATAATGTCATTAAAATATTGACAGATTTCTGAAAAAAATAAAAATTAAAAATATATAATTGTTTTTCAATTTATTATTTTGAAAGTATTTACCTTCCTTCTCCATAATGTTGTCGTATGCTTATTTTCAATAAAAATAATACAATTATTAATTAGTAATTTTAGGTTAGTGTTTATGTTCAGATATTTAAATATAAGAAAATATATATTTCGATGCATGTGTTATACATTCGCAATCTATATGTTTTATAAAATTTGTATTAAATTGCAATGATTAAAAATAATTAAATTTAAAACTATTTATAAGTGCAAATAAAAAAAATACTATAACAATGCGATGTACATATTTCATGCAACAATCTTATTATAAATTTGATAATTAAATATTATAATTTTTTATTAAATCATATTTGTAATATAATGTGATGTATATGCATAGATGTATTTCAAATTTGTACAAATATGTACAAATGTTGTGATATATATATATATATAATTTAAAAAGAAAATGTCTAAATTTGTTAAATGTAAGGTATAAATTATTTAAAAAATACCGTTCTCGAATAAATAGTTCACTTTATTATTTTCTTTCTTGAAACTATATTTTTTAATCAATGAAATAGACAAACATATTGGAAATAATAGATAAATGCAATATTAAAACTATCTAAAGTGAGTATAAATATTAATATATGTTACAAATTATTTTATTTTTATTTTTTTGACTTTGAATTTTTATAAAATGTTTGTAAATGAAAATCGAAATTTATATTTTTAAATTAAAAATTAATTATATATAAATTACAAAGAAATTAGTTTAAATTAATGGCGAAACAAATGCAAACAAAATTTTTACATTTAAAAAAACAAATAAATAATATATGTGACACGGATATATAGGAATATATTAACTTATATATGTATATTTATAAATGTCATTTATAAATTAATATATTTGGTTTAAATATTTCATAAATATTATAATTTATTTTATAAATTTAGAACATAATTTTGAAACATCATATCTATTATATAATTATCATTAAAGAAAAAATAATAAAAATAATAATAAAATTATACATGAAGGTATTATAAGATATTAAAGAAAACAAGCAAATAAATTTTTTTTGTATACAATAATGGAATTTTTTTTATAATATAATGAAAATAAAAACATGCAATTGAATAATTGTATATATCAGATTTTTTTAAAATAATTTTAAATATTTTCAAAAAAATTATAACTTATTTGAAAAGAAGCAAAATATAGTATTGGAAAATATTTTAAAATATAAAAAAATAAAAAAGTATTTATGTATATATATTTTAAATTTCGTACATATTTTTGAATTTATATTTAATAATAAAAATAATATTTTCGAAATTTAGAATAATAATTTAGTGCAAATAATATTCAATATATGCAATTTGGATATTACAATATAATCACTGTCGGTGAATATAAAAGAATATACAAACATATAAAGTATAAATAAAACTATTTGATTTAATTGTTGGAATCATTATTGGATTTAAATTTAAATTTTTTATTATTTTTCCATTAATTGAGTAAAATCTTAGAAGAAATAAGGCTATAAAATAAATATGTTAATTAAATCAAATATGAAAATTTATTCAAAACTGTTATTTTATTTGATCAGTTATTATTATAACTACTATAAATATACAAAATATGTCGCATTTATAAAGTGAATTATCGCTATTTAATATATTTTATTTTTTTACTGATCCTGATATTAGGAATTCTATGTATGTAATTTTATTTACATATTTTTTTAGAAGCAATCGAGATAGAGATAATTTCTCATATATATATACTTACAATTGTAAGTACTTATCTGATATAAAACTTTTCATCTCCATAATAGAAAGGTTGACAATAAAACGATCGTACAAGATGTCGACGTTCACGTAAATATTTGTTATGAAGTGCGCAATTCAATTGATTTAACCAAGAACAAAATACAATACTTTCAATAGAATTAATCATTGAAGACACTCTATTTTTTCTATCGTTGTTAGGATTGTTGCTTGATCCTCTGAAAATTATGAAAACAATTTCTTATTTTTCTTTTTTTTTATATAATGAAAATTATATAAAATACATTTAAAAGATTTTACCGCACAATATTTGATTCATTTCTTTTTTCTTTATGTAATTTCATATTCTTTTCTTCTCCAAATGAATTTGAAATAAATTCTTCAATAATTTGTTTTTCATTCATTTTATTACAATTAGACTTTACATTACAATTATTCATTTCAAAATATTTTTTAGAAAGTAACTTTTGCTTTCGCCGATTTTTATTTTCCTTGCGTATTTGTGCCTTAACAAGTGAAAAAAAAATTATAGATTAAAATTATTAAAGAATATGAAGTATTTGAAAGAAAGTTGAAAAATTAATTATAATACAAACCTGTTGAGCAATTTTTTTCCATTTTGTATTTGTTAAATTTTCAAGTAATTTTTGCTGTTTTTCAGTTTCTATTTTTTTAAGTATTCGTTTATATGTGATAGTTTTCTTATTTTTCCAAGCTTCAAAGGATAGTTTTTTTTCATTTTGTCGCTGACTTGCTAATCTATATTTTATTTTTTAAGCAAACAAGTATATGTTGCAAACTATTCTCTAAATTCAATAAATTTGACGAAATTTGATTTTTTATAAATAGAATAATAACCCATGCATATGATCACAGTCAACCAAAGAAACGTTGTTTGTTGCAATTTGTAATTTATCTGCTGCGCGGTTTGTTGAGTTGCTCCAAAGTTCAATAACTTTAGTATCACCAATGATAGGAGAAAGATTAATGTCATCTAGTTTATTCAAATCCTCTTTTTCATTAGTAAATTCCTTATTGTTAATCGAAACGAAGTTTGGTGTTTGTCTTATTTCTGACACATCTTTTTGACTAGGCATTTTATGGAAAATCGTTACCGAAGTTCGCTTATATTTATAGCGACGCGATCTACGATGCGCTACCGTTGCTGATATATTCTAAAATTTGAAACGTAAATAGTACAATTAATATTAAGTACAAAATTTTTATTTAACAGTTGATACCTCTTTCGATTCTAAAGATTCTTCATTTTGTTTATAGTTAGCATTTTCTAATTCCAATAATTTCTTGAAATTCCATTTCTCATAAATCATTTGATGAAATTGTACAATTTGATCTATGCAAGATATTTTAAATGTATGTAGTATACAATAATAAAATGAATGTTAATTATTACACTAACCATTATTTTTTAGCGCTCCATCGATCATTTGTTCGACGAAACTTTTGAAATTTGGAACTGAGTTACTTTTAGTTTTCATTCTGAAATATCAAAGATTTCTAAATCGTTGGTCGTCTTTTTGTTATAAGAGCCAAGGATTAAATGTAAAATACATTGTAATTAAACGAATTATGTAATTTTAAATGAATAAACGAACGATAGATAGCCATAGGTAAACGATTTCTTGAAATTAAAACAATTGAGGAACAAATAATTGAGAGTTTACAGCCGCATTCGTATAGGTAATATTTGTTATTATTGCTAATAAGTAAATAAATTTAATTTATTAAATTACGTATATTTGCATATATAAGTGCGCGCGCGTATGTACAATTATTATAATATAATTTACAAATTTGTATGATTGCACAAATATATGTGCAATTATTCTAATTACGCTAGTGCATATAATATAAAGAGGTAATGTATAAATTAAGATTCTTGGCACTCACATAATATACTTACAAATGATATTGTATTACCGAATAAGAATCATGTCATCCGAAGTCGGAAATACAAATCAATTAAGATAAAAATTGCTCATGCTTAATTCAAATTATTTTTAATCCAGTCTACGTATTCAGTAACACGCGTATATACTCCCGGATATCCTGGTTCTCCACATTTATTACCAAACGAGACAATACCGATTTGAATCCATTTACCATCTGCTCTAAGCATAAGTGGACCACCGGAATCACCTTGACAAGCATCTTTGCCGCCTTGACTATAACCAGCACAAAGAAAATTACTAGTAATTGGTTGAAAATAAGCTGCATTGCAATCTTCGTTTCTCCATACTGGAAGCACTGCTTGCCGCTGTACCGTGCTTTCTTTTCCACCTATTGAAAGAAATCATATAATAATTTTTTAATTCTTAAAAATTCTTAAAAATTTTTTAATTCTAAAAAATTATAAATATATAAATATTTTGAAAAAATAAGAAATAGAAATAATAGAAAAAAATGAATGTGAATTGAATATGAACAAAAGTAAAAGGAATAGAAAAAAAAAAATATATATATATATATATATACCATAATAGGTAGTACCCCATCCAACAACGGTTGGTCTAGCACCAGCAAATCGTTCGTTTCGATAATGTGCTTGTGGTAAACAAATTGGTATTACATAAGGAGATTTTCGAACAGTCCTCGTCAACTCCAAAACTGCAATATCATTATAAAATCCAACACGAGAGAATTTTGGATGTGCATGAATTTGTTTAACCATGTAAGTTTCTGGCGCGGATGGTTCGTCATTCCTTTCAAGATCTATGTCTCCAAGACGTACAGTGAATTGTTTAGCAGCAAATCTGTTCGAAAGTTCGAAAATCGTCATTTTATTTCTTCTTATGTAAAAGTTTTGAAAACATTTACTTACGAACGAGTAACTTACGGCCGTTGACGGTGATCGCGTGTACAATGAGCCGCAGTTAAAATGTATCGCGATCCAATCAAAGATCCACCACACCAAAATTCTGTGCGTTTAGAGCCATGTAAAAAAATCGCTGCCATCCAAGGCCAACGTCCTGGAAGAGCTTCTTCTCCGCCGACTACTCGATATTTACCTGAGTTTCTTACTCCACATTCTACCACAAGAATTTATCAACAATTTAGTTGTTGCTATTGCTTATTCATTTCTATATGTATGTGTTTTATATTTTTACATTTGTTTACCTTCATCGTTTTGTATAAAATTATTATCAATAGTGCTGCCGGATGTTGAAGATCCAAAGAAATTAGTTGAATGATTTACCGATGGATTGATAGGAGATACTGAAACGAATTCTACAGTAAGTAGTAGTCGTAATTGTAAATTCTGTAATTCTATAGTAATTGTAATCGTGCTACCAGTTGTAATGACAGGAAACAATGGAATGGGTCGAGGAGTTTGATGTGGCTTCGTTGGTCGGACTGGTGGTCTCGATGGAGAATGTATGGGTGGCTCGATTCCTGGTGCTGGAATTATACCGGCTATCGAGCTGAAAATTCATACATATCCAATTTTTTTTAGGTTATGAACGATCTTGCTATAACAAATCATAACGAAATTATTGTTGTTGAATTTACCTAGTTCCATTATTGTCGACTTTATCCGTCAATGGGCAACAAACGCCCGGAACAAATAAACTTTTAAAGCATAATGATTGTCTGAGTTTGGTCAAATCGAGTAACAATTGAGGACAGTTACTTAAATCCTGACATTTTCCAAGATTGCCTTCTGCCGTAGTACAATCGACCGACGATATCACTGATTCTTTTTCTCTAATGTTTTGATTAATCTCTGCAGGAGAAGAAGAAACAGAAGAGACAGAAGAACTTTCGGTCGGTATAGGTCGTAGAGGTAAAGCTACACCTCGGACTAGCGGTGCAATACTATCTGTTACATTGCGTCCTAAAAAAAAATATAATTAAACTATGCAAAATTTATAAATTCTGGAAAAAGAATAGTTGAATTTTATCAAAATCTTACCTAAAATATTCTTTGAAATAGTGTATATAGCTGATGGTAATTCCTTTGGTGGATAATTTGAGTTCTCCACTCCTCTGGTCATATTAACGATATAACTCCCGACAGTATTTAAGGCACCCAAAGTTTCGGTAATCGTAACCAGAGGATCCGGCTGTTCTCGTTTTTCTTCAACTTTCGCTAATCTTACGTAAGGTCTGATATGCATATTTTTTCGAAAAATTGGTGGACCCAATCTTTGTGGATCACTACTATCCCATCTATCTGGTTCTCTCCATCTTTTTATCGGTGTTATAAATGTCTGAGATGTTCCAAATTTGTTTGATGCTGTATCGTTTATATCGCACGCATATTATTATAACATTACATATAATATAATATAACATATAACATATAAGATTCGATTGAATATCCGATTGAATTAATCAGCGTTTTTGTTTAATGAAACAGATTAACGATGAGATTTACTTACCTGAATGATAACGATAATGAGTAATTTCTTCGGTGTATGACCAGGAACTCGTTAGCAAACTCCATATTATGCACAATTCTGAAACATTCAAGTACATCAAGCAGCATGGAATAGAGCGTATCTCTAATCATCGATTATTCCGAAATCGATCTTCCTTTTTTCTTCCATAAAGAATAAAACTATAAATTAAAAGATGTGTAAGTAGATCGCAATTTAAATCATATAGAACTAAAAATGATGAAGATTATTACTGATTTCAGGTAATTGTGGAACAACTACAGGCAAAATAATTATTACTTAAAAATCATTCTGGAAAATTAGCGATTCTCCATTTACGATATGTCAAAGCGAATCTAAGTATTATAATTACTATATTAAGTATATTACTGGTATTACTTTTTGAAATATAGCATTCGATATTATTGACAAATGTTAAGATCATCATCGCTGATTGATTATTACAATATTCAAAAACTTTTCGAATCGTGCTTTATTATATTCGATGAATTAAATTTTTATTTCCTTTTTTATGTTAATAACCTATTAACACGATTTCTCGAGTATCTATTGCGAGACTAAAAGTAAAATCGATAGAAAAAGCGTGTTAGCATATGAGAAGTAATTCAATTCTCCGTGAAATCGAATCGGAAGCGTAACGAAACCATTGGTGAAACTTTTTCAATTTCGCGAGTTTATCATGTTTGAATTTATTTTGAAATATTACATGCAAGTATTGACCTTTGTTCACTGAAGAATAAAAAAAATCTCAAAAATCTGAAAAAATGCGTTTCGTTAAAAACGATATATACTTCCTTCTCAATCTTCTTTCTCAAGAAGAGAATAAAAGAAAGCGAACGATCAAGCGTTTTTGGAATCTGTCTACGCACACGGACTTCATCGATGGTGAAAGTTGCTTGGCGAGAAAGCGCACCTTTCTTCCATTCACTGATTCATCATCTAGTTATACACATACAGCAATGAAGCAATAAATAATAGTGAGTTTAGTGATAAATTAAATCTATTGAGTGAGAATACAATGATTATACTTTTAATCCGTTATTTTTTTTTTTTGTCTCGTGAAAAATTATGCTATTCTCTTTCCAATTGTATAGTTAACGTTACCTTTACTTTCAATTGATGAGTTGGGAATACCATTCTTTCGTAATTCAATATTTATTCTCATCTTATTTATTTTGAATGTGCAATATGTCTTATCTTGTTTTTGTATTTAAACCGATTTAACCCGCATCATATGGGCTGTACGATATAGATGTCAATTATTAATAATGTAACATTGAAAATCAATAACAATAAACGAAATATAATTTAATGAAAGGAAATGCATAAAATAATATATATATTACATATATAATTAGAAAATAAAAAAATAATTTTAAATTTGAAAATATGTAAAAAATTGAATGTAATGATTTAAAGTTTTCGCGCCTAAATACGAGGCAGTACGAATCAACATCCTTGATTTTTCATTTAAGTAGCGCGGAAAATGAATAGAATTGGAACTTTCATTCATGGTCTATTGTATTTTTCCCATTTTCTTATCGATGATGCAAATGTTAAAAATGAATAATAAATATCATTCATAAAATTGTATGAAAGCGCGCGTAAACTATATAAATCGATTTGAATCACTTACTCAAAACAGTGGACGATAACATCCTGATCCAGAGAAAACATTCAACCGATCTTTTTCACATACCATACGGTTTTTATCACGATTATATTACAACACTTATTATTCGCGATCAGGCATACAACGTTCAACTATTTCAACAAAGTTATCGCGTTCGCGAGACTCCCGGCGAATTGTCCATCGTCTATTGAGTTTTGACTGGAAGGTGGGAGCTGACAAGAAAGCGCGGGGGGGGGGCGGAAATAAGATAGAGAAAACAAGAGAAAGGATCATGTATGTAAACGAGAAAGAGAGAAGTTGGAGGAAAAGAAGGAGAAATAAAAAAAGAGGGGAATAAATAAAAAAATTAAAAAGGAAGAAGGAAACCATCGGAATCGTGCAATCATCACTACACATGGGATAAACCTCAATTAGGATGACTGTCGTGAAAAGACCTCGACATACTTTGTTCTCGATGAAATGATTCCCTCACTCTTTCCCATTCCCTCAATCTTTTCTCTTTTCTTCTTTCACAGTAACTACCATCCTTGACTCATTCAACTGAGGGAAAGTGTTCTCTCTATCGTGTATTTCTATTCGTTCTCTTTTCACTCAACGATACAATAGTGTGCCAAAAATATATATTTGCGAATATGTAGCAATTTATCTCACTATAAATATTTGAATCCCCAAATATCTAAATTTTATATATTTGAATTTTTGAATGCTTTAATTCTCATATATCTGAAGTTGTCTTTTTATTTTAGTTCACAGTTGCTGTATAGTATGTTTATCCTCTGATTAATTTCTTCTTTTATCGATGAAATAAAAATTAAATAATGAACTGGAATCAAATAAACAAAATTGGCAAAAATCATTAAAATATAAAATTACAGATATATCAAAACAAATTATTCTAATATACCATAAATTTATTTATATTGAAGTAATTGTCGCTATACTGAAACATAGTACGTGTGCTTCAAGTATGAACCTAAATTCCAACATCATTAGATACACTGTTCTGTCTTGTGAAATTCAATATACAAATTGTTCAGTCATATCCTTATGAGAATATGTACGTATTTCTACAAGGAATCTGTTAAAGGTACACGATGTAACTGTTTATAACACTATTCTGTATGTCTTATTCTATAAGAATACATCCAACGATGTAAATGAATGCGCGTCATTGATTGAAATAAGTTGCAAATAACAATTGATACAACGCATTATATAAATGTAGTTGCGCTGTAGACAAACGAGTAAAAGTTTGCCCCATTTCGAGCGTCTCTCTCTAGATCTCTATATCGTGTCTATTAACAAATGTACAAAAATCCATTATATTTCAGTATGACATATACACTGTATATCGTGTATAGATCATACCATATGTTTACATTCATCGCGATGAATATCACTAAAGTATTTATTTGTAACAATAGCAGCAGTAATAATGGTAGTGTAATAATAATTGAGATAGTAGAAGTAGCAGTAGTGATAATAGCAATAGTAGAAGTAGTAATAGTAATAATAATAGTAATAGTAGTACTAATAGTAAGCAATGGTAATAATAGTGATAATTAGAATAATAATAGTAATAATAATAATACTACTATTTTTATTGTTTTTAGATCATTAAATGTAAAAAAGATTGGGAAAGATGATATAAAATTTTTACAGAAATTGAATGACATCAAAAACTCAAAAATCGTAATCATAATGCTTAGATGAGTAGACTGCTTGGATGAGTATCGGGAGTGAGACGTTCAATTCGGTTTAATTCATTTAAAACTTAATTTAAGGATAGCAACTTGAATACAAATATTGAAAGAGATTTAAGATATACGTATACGCCACTCATCAACGAGGAATTATTTGGGTTTTTCTTGAATCACAATTTGTCTATCAATTGCATACGATCACATTACAATCGGAATTTACGTATACGATTAATTGCTGAAATATAATGAAAATTGATTTGTCAATAATATAAATAATTTAGTGTGCGTGTGCATATGTGAGAGTAAGTATGGGCGCGCGTGTGTGTGCTAGCATCAGAAACAGGTGGATATAAAAATTCACCAATTATTCGTTATAATGGTAAAAATCAGCAATATACGATCAATATTTTCTCATGCTCGGCATAGATGATTTATATGGATCAAAACGATCGTATGAAGGTGCTGTCCCGGGTGCAGTTAATCCCATTGATTGAATAGGACCACTTTGATACGTAGGTGGAACTGGATGTCGTAATGTGTTTCCCATACTGCTTGAATTACTCCATCTGAAATAAATTCATTTATTTAATCGATCTTATTTGCGAATCAAATATAAAATTTATTTTACAAAGAGATTGATGTGTACCTGTTTACATTATCAGAAGATCTAGAACTCCAACTAGATGGTTCGTTTCGAGGATCTCGAGTTCCGCTACTAGGTACAGAATTAAATGATTTTGTAGACGAAGGTCCAGAATGCCAACTACTAGTTGTTCGATTGCTTTCAACATAACGACTATCACCTATGCATAAAAAATGTTGAGATCAAAAAAAATTTTAAACATCAAACAATTTTCTAAAATCATATGAATTCTTTTATACTAACGTGGAGTACTAGATCCAGTAGGTTTGAAACTTTCACTGTAACGCGTATGACTATCCCTAGAACTTCTATGTGTATCTGTATCAGAACGCCTGACATCGCGATCACGAGTATAAGTAGTAGTACTTGCACGTTCATATCTATACAAAAATATTTCGATGAATTTTTTTTATTCAAAAAATCGAAATATATATTGTACAAAAACATAAATTAATCTTTTTTTATATTACCTTTCTTTAACTTGTCGAGGATCGATAGACGTTGCTGTCGTGCTAAGAGTGTCTCGACGTACGATCACTTCTCTTCCTCGGGATACATCGGAAAAGCTTTCGGGACGACTACTACGGGAAGTAAACTCGCTACTACGTTTGAATTCCTTTTTCAACCCTAAATCTTGACTGGATCTGTAATATTTTACGATTCTTTCGTATCTTCTCCGCTTTCGATTTGCACAAAAATGAGGGAATACGAGGGACCATACACGCATCTTACCTACTAGATTCGTAGCGAGTAGGCGGGGATGCGTCTAATCGTCTGTCTGAGACGCGATCTAAAATCTCACCACGACGATCACTTACACGTTCTGGAATGTGTTTTCGACTATGCTCAGTGGCCATACGTTTTCTATCTGGTTCAACGTATATGTCTCTTGGATCCCTTCTATCGCTAGAACATCGTTTAATGGACGGTGGAGGCGGAGCACGTCTACTCTCTTCTAATCGCATTTGTTGTCTTTTCAGTTCCAATCTTTCTCGCTCCAGCTTTTCCCGCTCCAGTTTTTGACGTTCCCGTTCGAGTCGAAGTAACTCAGCTCTCTCCTGCTCAATTCTTTCTCTTTCCCTTCTTAATTTTTCTCGTTCTCTTTCTAATCGTGCAGCTTCTTCTCTTTGTCTACGTTCTACTTCCCGTTGTCGCTCCATATCTTCTCTTCTTCTCCGTTCTTCTTCACGAAGCATCCTCTCCCTTTCTCGTAGCCTTTGTCTTTCTCGTTCCTCCTGGAAATATATAAAAAATTATATTCTTCATAATTCTAATAAATAATTAATACTAAAATATATGCTTCATTAATAATAATTAATAATAATTGATTTTTACCCTGATTTTTGCAAAGGTTAACACATCATCGCGCCTACGCCGTTCGCGGCTGCGAGATCGAGTATGAGATCGATGATGATCCCAAGATCGAATTCTCTTTTCGTCACGTCTTCCTCTTTCACTTTCCGGTTTTTTACTAGTAGATTTAGTTGATCGAGAATCGGCATCTTTCGAAACTTCATCTTTCTTTTCCTGCACCTCTGCTTTTTTATTTTCAATATTTTCGTTACTTTTTTCGTCCGACTTTTTCACTGTTGTGATATATTTAAATATTTCTTTTATAATATATATATATAAAACATCACTTTGTATATATTATTTATTTGAATCACTCACTTGCTTCTGTTCCTTTATCTTCTGTTTCTTTCTTCGTTTCCTTATCTTTCCGATCGTTAATCTCATGATTATCTTTTGTCTTTTCTTTTTCTTCCTTCTTTTCAGATTTTCCATTCGTAGTATCTCGTTTGCGCATATGACTTTGTTGAGTATCACCTTTGGCCTTTATATAATATAAAAGTATATGTGAAAAAAAAGTATAAATAGTCTAAGAGATAAAAATATTTTTTTTGATTTTATTTACCTTTTCTACAGATATTACACGTCCGTGAAGTTCAGTTCTATGTAAATGTTGTATACACTTTGCAGCATCTTCACTAGTGGACATAGTTACATAGCCATAACATCTTGCACCTGGTGTTCTTGCATTTGTAACTACTTTTGCACCTATTACTTTCCCATATTTTGAAAATATTTGTTTCAAATCAGTAGCGCGAGTACTTGAAGATAATCCGGATACCCACAAATTTCTACTACTCGCATTAACGGGACTAACTTGAGAAGTTTTTTTGTCTATATAAAGAATAAAATAATTATAAAACAAAAGTAGAAATAATAGATATTTTAATTATAATAATATTGATAAATGATTAAAAATTTAATTAATTAATATTGATAAATGATTAAAAATTTATTAATAATTCTATAAACACGATTTAAATAATTATTTAATAGTTACCTTTATCATCTCTTTTTTGGCTCTTGTTGCTAGACTCCATGCTGAAAACAATTATTATTTTCATTACATCTGACAATCATTTGAACAATTCTTATTATGTATGAAAAGATAATATTTTAGAAACAATGAATTTCTTTTTCGAGGCTTAATTAGGTACCTCTGTAACTATGTTAAGCATATAAATTTGGCTAGCAACTTTTATCTTTATAACAAAATTATATAATTATATTTATATATTATCATAATTATCAGCTATAATTATCATGATTATCATCATTATCATCGTGATTATTATTATCGCTATCATTATCATTATCATCATCATCGTCATCATCATCATCATCATCATCATCATCATCATCATCATCATCATCGTCGTCGTCGTCGTCGTCGTTGTTAATAATGATAAAGACAACAACCACAATAGCAGCAGCAACAATAATAGAAACAACAGTAACAGTAATAATAATTAGATATTCGTTTTGGCGTTCACTTGTACATCAGCTGTGATACAATTTGTTAGCAGTTTAATGAAATTACTACGTTTCATTGCGGTTGAATCCATATTTCATCTTTCGTGTAATGAAAGTATGTCCGTGCGGAAAATATATTTGTATTGCATCCCTCTTACATAAGCTTTCCAAAAATGGAGTATTTCCTTCGTAGTTCTTCCGGATGGGCTTGACACTTCTTTGTAACTTGGAATAAGCATTGACACACACGCGATATAGAGTAGCAGTCTTCGATGAATGATATGATTACTTGATGCTCGCGTTAAGGCTTAAGTGGGATCTGTCGAATGTATAATTTATCTCAAGATGCTAACATATCTTGCTAGGCTCGACGAAACTGTTGTTTGTTTAATAAACGAATATCTTCAGAGAGGAAAAGTTGCATGTATAATCACTTTCATTGGTAATTCTGGAGCGTATAATACACCATCGAAAAATATTCGTTTATGAATAGGAGCGGTATATATAGGACTTGGTTTGGTTAAGTTTGCTAGCCAATTTCTCGATTTCTTAACATACTTTCCAGAGTTAAGAATTACAGCCTAAACGTACGAGATCGGAAAGGAACTTCGTATGCGATTGAAAAAAAGGGAATAAAGTAATCTTGCGTGCGACTGTGACGAATAATTCAGCTTGGAAATCCATCGTTCGACAGTATCTTATCCTGATGGTATTGTATGCGGTGGAAGAGCATCGCTAGCATAGAGTTGTGTGACATTTCGTTGTCGTATCACTGTGAACCGTTTAGCAATGAGAGACCAACCTCTTGCTTCCATCTCCACCACCGTCCTGCTTGCTCTTCGTCCCGACGTTTCCACCTGATGTCGTCCCTTCCTTGTTGTTGGCACCAGCTTCTGCTCTACTGCTCCCTTTAGAGTCTCCCTTCTTGTTTTCTTCCACTTTCTTCTTCTCTCCTCCATCTGCAGAGACAATCAAGGTAGCATAGTCACTTTCTGCGAAGCCAGATTTCTTCTCCCTCCCTAAGACTCCAGCTGCTTAGTGGCCTGTATTTCCTGCATGGAACTTTTCCGAGCCACTAACAGATTGCGGAGTAAATTATGATGAAGATCGCATGATTGCAATAACACAAATTCACTCTTCAATGTATAATCCATAGCGACCCTACTTTGTTTTTTTCTTTTGATTTTCGAACGATTTAAAATTACCTTTGTACCTTTATATAAAATAGACTCTGAACCAAAACCTATATTGAAAGAAAATTTTAAGGGAAATGAAGAGAAAATGGAGAACAAAGAGGAAAAAGGAGAAAAGGAAAAGAAAAAACTAGAAAGGTAGCAAAAGGTATATATATGCACGCGCGCGCGCAGACATAAGCACGCACGCATGCAGGACATATTTGATTTCTGCGATAGCAAAATATTTGCGCGTTAAAATGACATGCGATTATTTTAAGTTGGTGGTTTTAAGACATTGATTTCTCCAGGATAATAAACAACGATGCATCATCAACCGTATATGGGGAAGATTTTTGGCTTGACATATACTTCAGTCTTCTTGTATCCACATAATTCGGAGACCAAATGATCCAACGATGCTCTAGGTGGTTAGGTAGAATTAAATGTAACTTTATATCAAACTCTAGCGTTAACTAACTTATAGACTAGCACTTATGGGATAAACTTTGTAGAATATAGTTGATATTGCGCACAAGAACGTCGACGAATATATGTTTCATTTTGGTTGAAACCTCGTCGATCATCGCGCCATAATACTCTGCAGCTACATTACTGCATGCCACGTCCACATGATAAATGGTTGCATCGCTTCCTGCACGTATGCTTGATTGAAAATATGGAGCTCGAAGATCGGAAGTAAAATGAAGCATGAAGTAGTAAATTTGTTGACAAATCCAGCGCGCTCGTAATTCTGGATAGATGGAGGTATTTTATACGTAGATAAGCATGTCTCTTGGTCTTTCTGATGCCATATACTTAAGTAACTTACTCGTGACCATCGACAATAGTAGTGCTATATCTATACCTTGAAATCTTACGTCTATGCATACATACATACATACATATATGTGTGTATGTATATATATATACATATATACATGTATGTACATATATAGGTGCAAATCAAGATATAACAAACTTACCCTTATGCCTCTCGTGAGACTCTGTCTGAAACATACAAAGTAAAAATATAAAATAGTTTTTATTTTTTCTTGAAATGTTAAAGTCACGATTTAATTAAATCCATTACCTCCTCAGCGAGGAGATTTTCTTCATCTTCGCCAATAGTTAGATTGATGGAATCTTCATTGTCGATACCATTGGCCTCAACAGTAGAAACTGAATTAGTTGTAGTTTGATTTATTGTAGTAGCTACATCAGATTCTATTTTCTTATCAAGAGCCTGTGTATTTTCGATCAAATTTTTATTTAAATGATTCTTAAGTTCCTGTTTGTGTTCTATTTCCTTGCTAACATTATTTTGAATTTCACTTTGAAGTTCCTAAAATAAAATTTTATTTTATTATTCTTATAAATATATTTTTTTATAATAAACTAAATATTATTTATACTTACTTCCACTTTAGATATTGTTGTATTTTCTTCTATAACAGGCTTTGATTCTTGTTTAACTTTTATATCATTATTATCAGATACCTCCATACTTTCTTCTTTTTGATTTTCTAATGTATCATTAGTTTCATCTTGATTAATTGTACCTGTTACTAAAATGCAAAAAATTATAAATTTGATTTGATAAAATGATTTTAAATTTATCTCTTTCCTTTTAATTAATGTATATAGGTCAAATAACATACCACTATTTTTTCTTGGACTAACTTTGCATAATCCACCACAAGGTACAATCAAATATTCATCAGGATCTTGACCTTCATCAGTTATGGCCTTTATATATCAAAATAACAATGAAGTTATCATAAGTTATAATAATAATAATAATAATAATAATAATAATAATAATAATAATAATAATAATAATGAACAATAAAAATATAAAATTATATTAGTTAAATATAATTAGAGAAAAAAAACTTGTTCATCGATGGCAATACTGTAATAATTATTTGAAAAATTGAGGTTTTGAAATGATATATATATATATATATATAGCGTTGAAATAAACTATCAACGGTATCAAAAGGGTTAAAATGGCGATAAAACAAAGAATAATATTGTTAATGAAATCTTAACAAAAACAATATAAAGGATAAGAAAATTTACTTTGGAAAGACGCTCAAGAAGTGCTGCTTTATTGCCAGTTTTATCTAGCCCACGCCTCTCGAGTTCTGTTTTCAAATCTATAACTCGTAGTTCAGTGAGCTTTTTTCCTTCAACATCGGCCATTATTCTCATACAAAAGTGTCCGACACAAGGCACGCTTATGTTTCGATTTTATCGCTTTTACAAATAGAAATTTATAAGCTAATTTTCATATATAAACTCAATAAAATAACAAAATTATGATATATAAAAAGAACAATTGAAGGATTTCTCAAAATCACAAAGAAAAAGTTACGACAACACACTCCGATATGAACTATCCATCGTCGTCGCCATTTAACGGAAATGACCGGAAGTAATTCTCGCATCAAGTGAATAGAATAGCCAATCTAAAAAATCAAGATACATTTTATTGAAATATTACTAGAATTATTTTTATCATTAATATAATGATAATCAGATTAAAATGCGAAATTATATATATTAAAAAATATAAAATTTGTTGAATGTACATAAAATAATATAAATTTTATATAAAATGAATAAACAATAAAAACAAGAATAATTATTTACCAATCGAAAAATGATAATACTAGTTACAATTTTTAAAATGGAAGATATTATTAAAATTATATATAATTATATTTATATTTATGAATTAAATTGTATGAAATATTAAAATTTTATATATTAAAAGATTAAGAATTTCTTATATTCTTAAAATCAATAGTTATATGTTTTGTTAACTTTGATATCTTTAATCAGAAATGAATATGTGACGTATCGATTTGCATATATATATCTAAGAATACGTTTGTTTAACATTGATTCATAAAAATTTATAATTGCACAGTAGAAATTTTTTTACATTTATAAGTATGCCTGTAAGTAAATATTTCTTAAATTCGTATTAAATATTATATACGTATTTCATTGAATTTTGACATATAATGTTATTTCTAACCTTCTTGGATTTCAATCTATATAAAGTATTTATGCTTATTTTTAACATTTTGAATTAATTTATATATATTAATAGAAAGATGAAAATGAAATATTTTTTATTATAGTACTCTAATGATTACTTACTTTTTTTTTTATTTTAGGCATATCATTCAAGTTTTATTGAAAGTAATGGAAATGTTGGTAATATGGCACTTTTGCCAATTCGAACACATTTTAGAGGTCCTGCACCTCCCTTCAATAATAAGGATTTGGATATAATTGATGAAGCATTGTATTTCTTTAAAGCAAATGTGTTCTTTAGAACGTATGAAATTAAGGTACAACAACAACAGTGTGTTCATTTCTATTTTAATTCTATGTTTCTGAAAAAAAATATAAAATATTATGTTATTTTAGAGCGAAGCTGATAGAGTTTTAATTTATATTACATTATATATAACAGAATGCTTGAAAAGATTACAGAAATGTGCAACTCAAGCTCAAGCTACAAATGAAATGTATTCTCTTGCTATTTCAAAATTTGATATTCCTGGTGATCCTGGTTTTCCTTTAAACTCTGTATATGCAAAACCAAGTAATCCTGTAGAAGCAGGTATATTTTGCATTAGTTTTATATCAAATTGAAAATTATTAAGTGTAAAAATATTTTTTTTTTTATAGATACTATGAGACAATATTTGCAACAAATAAGACAAGAAACTGGTGTTAGACTTGTAGAAAAAGTATATGGTGAAGATGGCAAACCAAGCAAATGGTGGTTATGTTTTGCAAAAAAAAAATTTATGGATAAATCATTATCTGGTCCTGGACAATAAAGTATATTTTTTAATTATAATATAGAATATGTATAACAGATAAATACAAAAGTTTATTGCAGGAATATGAGTTTTAATATTTTATAATATTAATAAAAATAAAATAGAAAGATAAAAATGCAGAAAAAAATATTGTAAGAATTTTGTAAATTAAATGTATTATGCATTTATCATATAATTAAACTTGTAAAATCTTATTATATCTTATTATATATATTATATTGTATTTGTATTTACTTAATTTATAAAAATGAAATATAACACTTTAAAACAACTAATTAGGAAATAAATGTTTATTTTGTACAGGATATACCATAATATTGATACAAATATCTGTAACATATCAATGCAATGATGTATCATGTACATATCATTATTAGAAACATTTAAAAACTTTATCGCTTTCTGCGAAGCGATAAAGAGTTTCTTCTCAGCCATGCTGCACGACGAGAACCACCAATAGTTTGCGAATAACGATGTCCTTTGCCTAAACCGCGTGAACTTCTGCCAGCTGATGTCTTTCCACGAAGTTCACGATGTTTATGTACTGCATTACATATCCAATTAACTTTTGGATCATTACGAATTGCCTGAAATAAGAATAAAACTATTAATATTTCATTCTTTAATATTGTCCTGTAAAACTTTTACTGCAATTATTTATTCAGACATCCAAGGAAGATGAAAAATCATGAAACTTCAGTATGCAATAAAATATCATCATGTTTCATACAAATATTTTATTTTTATAAAATATCTAATTATTATAAATTACCTTATGTGCTGGATCAACCAAAATAACTTCATAATATTTATATGAAGAATCTTGAGCTACCCAATAACTATTCAAAACTCGCAAACCTCCACAACGACGACCAACACGTTCCTGAAAATAAGTATTTATCAAATAAAATGATAAAAATTGCATATTACATGATGTAAGATGATATAAGATTGTACTTCAATTTGTGTAAATATGAACTTACTTCGGCAACAGACTGTAATTTTCTAGTAGGTTTCAACTGATTAACACCATGACTTTTTGGTTTTCCATAAGTTGCACCTTTAGGAACAGGACGTTTGCGCCCACCTCTTCTTACACGAATTCTAAATATGACAAACCCTGCATATTAAGAATATAATTTTTCATATTTATTATATTCTATTAAATGTTTAATATATACTATGTTTAATTTATATTAAAAAAGATAATCAGTATATACACATATATCACCATATAACTGTAAGAGTGGTGCATGGTATATCTCATCATACATATTTTTTAAATATTTAATTTTATAAATAATAAAAAAGAAAAAATAAAAATTAAATTTTGTTACAATAAATAGAATTAAAACAATTAATTTGATTTAAGAATATTTCAATTATTTTATATATTTTATTGAAAAACTACATTCATACCTTGCTTAGCTTTATAACCTAAACGGCGTGCTTTATCAGGCCTAGACGGTCTAGGAGCACGATGCATTTTAGTCAATTGACGATATTGCCAACATCTGACACGAAGCAAGAAGCGGAGCACATCGCTTTGCTTCTTGCGATAAAGTTCTTGCATATATTTGTATGCACCCATTGCGAATCCCTGAAAAACACAGGCATTAATATCGTCTTTATCAATGAAAATAACACAATAGAAAGTTTGAAACTAAGATTAATAATTATTAAAATCAACAGAAAATTTTATAAATTTTGTATAATACAACTTTTAGTTTTCAATGTAATAAATAATGTAATAAATAAGAATAATAAACAAATAAGGTTAATTTCTTTCGAATTTAAACATAACATAATAAATATAACGTTCTCATAGAAATAATGTACGAAATCATAAGAATATTTTGTACAGCAACTCTCGATAATGAATTTTTTTGATGTGTACTTCAAAAATATGTTTGGATTCATAAAATGTAATACGATTTTCAATATGAAACACTTACCTTCGTCAATTGGAACAGAAGGAAAGGCCTCCAACCTTCTTGACATTGATATGTTAAACCATTGTATCTGAAACATTGAAGATAGTATACTTGACACTACAACTAAAAATGATAGAGACATCTATGAAAAAAAAAATGTATTAAATTTTTAACGTATTTTATCCATCGATAAGGTAAAAAAAAAAAAAAAAAAAAATCGAAATAATTATTAAATTGTAGAATGCCAAAAAAATTCATAATGAATACAGATATTGATTCAAACTATGCAAATTCATATCACAAAATTTAAGATAATTTTCATAATAAGTAAATTTGATAATATTTAAATGTCTATAACACAAAAATAACAAGAACAAATAAATTAATTAAATTCTTAAAAGTATATATGTAGCAAATATTTTTCTATATTTTTTTTTATTCTTTATTTTACTTTTTTATTAGTATTTTTTATATATATATATATATATTATTTAGTTGATTTACTAGAATTTAATTATTTAAATATACAAAAAAGATTTGATTTGATTAATTTGATTATTGCGACGAATCAAAAGTTTGAAAGAATATGACAGAAAATGATCAATGAAATCACAAAAATGAAAAATCAGTTATGAAAATATTAAATAGCATAGGTGGTTCTATTATCGAGCGACCTGGTGACCTCTCGTCGAGAAATTGATTATTTCAGGTAGCACGAATAAGTGGTAGTTAAGAAGACGTAGTCCACGATGGAGAGTCGTTCGGATAGTATAAAGGATCCAATTTATTATCCTTCGATGCAAGAAAACGGGGAAAAAAATGAAACGACGACAGAAGCTGAAACGATTGACAAACGAAGCAGAAGTTCTGCTGGTAGCCAAGAATTTGATCTGGAAGAGAGTCACACGTTGAAAGTGCCGCGCAAATTTATCACTAACTGGCGACAAGCTTGTGATCGTACACGAGATAGAACTAAGGATTTTTTGAAGAAATGGCGGACTGTTTCGACTAATGTTGATGAAATCGTTGGTGTTCCAGTTTCCAACAAACAATTGGAACATCCTAGTTGGAGTGTACATGTTTGGAGTAAGATTTTTATTTACGAAACACACGTTAAATACATTAGGAAGGAAAAGATACATAATGTAATTACGAATGGATAAGAAACAGACAATAAGTGTAAAAAAAACACAAAAATCGTGTTTGTTATAAGTATTTATGCACATTGTATATATGCATGCTTATTATCATCGTATCTTTATATTAATTAAATATTTTTTTCTTTTTTGTGTTCCTATTTTGTTCTTTTTTTTTGTTTTTTCTATTTATATTTTTGATAAATTAGCGACTTGGGTGAGTCGATATGCCAGCGATGAAAATTTAATCGCTGTAGAAGAAATTGACAAGGGAGGAAAATTAAAGGATCTGGCGCCCATTCAACGCGATAAGTTTTCACATTTTTTCACTTATCTTTTGGATCATGACAGAGATGGTTTTATTAATCGAAAAGATTTTCGAATGCTTTCAGAGGTACATATATATGGGAATAGGCGATGTTACACAGTTATTATTGAAAGTTTATGCTAATATTTATGCTAATATTTCAACATTTTTGAAAGCGATTAAGAAGATTTGCGGATTGGTCGTGGAACGGACCCGAATATTTGAGATTATTGGAGATTGAACAGGGATTAGCGGACTTAATTTTTCAAGAGAAGAAACAGATCAGCTCGGAAGAATGGTTGTGTTGGTGGGCGCGTGTCGTCGCGCCAATCGGAGGAGCAACTTACAACGAGATTCCATTTTGGTTAAAAATTTTACCACGAATATTTTTTCTCGCCATTAATAATTCCGTAAACGGAATAATATCGAAAAAAGAGCTTGAATCGTTTTATGGATCTGTCGTTGGCCTAGACTCTGACAAAATCTCCAAATATCTGGATATGGCGTATAATTCTCTAACATCGGTAAAAACGCTATACTTTATTATAAAAGAATATATAATTACTTTGCTGATGTTATTTACTTTTAAGATATCTAATATGCTATAAAAACTCTAGGAGATAAAAAAAAGAAAGAACGTAAGATAAAAAAAAATGTCATGTATGTATAAATGGGAAAAAACACTAGGGCACAAATGAAATGTAGGACAAAATGGGAGAAAGGGGAATGAGGTGATGAGGATGAGAGACAGAGAAGAAATGGAAAATTATTAAAATAATTATTTTTGCATTTTCTTCAGAATGGAGACCATCTTCTCGGTTGGCCGCAGTATCAACTCGCATACGCCAACTTTTTGTTCGGTCGCGGACCATTCGGGCCAGGAGAACATTTTTTCGGTATAACAGATTCCTGCATAATCCGAGGCAATAACGTACCATTTCCGATCGATTATTCCGCGATGAACACACCAAAAGATAAATTGGAAATATACAGGCCGCATTGTAGAAGTAGTCGACGTAGCGTAGTAGTTTGAAAAGTAATCACAACAATAGGAGTAACAGGTGGTAACAGATGCGGACAGTGATACGTTCCGACAAGAATCGGTCAGATATATCGATCAGAACTATTTTATATATATATATATATACACACACATATATATATATTAATATATTCAGAGCATTTCTGGCATTTTATTCCCTAATAATAGATGAATTAATACATACATTCGTATATATGTACATATATATATATATATATATATGTACATATATATGATAAGAAAATATTTGGTAATCGTTTCATTCGACTCTGTACAAACATTGATTGATATGTTTAATAAAATATATTGATTGGAATTTTTTATGAATGATAGACGTGTGATTATGGAAGGATAAGGATGAGCGAATCGATCGATTTAGTACATTAATATAAATGAGATACAATAAAACATAATGAAAAGCAATGAAACGCAACGCGATGAACGAGATTCGATAATGATTCGATAGATAAATGCAACCATTCGTAAAGTATCGATGATTCTTCTCGGAAGTAAGAAACATGGAAGAACAAATTATTCAAATAATCCTAATTCTTGTACTTTTCCTTAGACAGTTTTTGCCCATACCGCAACAACGAATGACTCGATATCACATTCGTTTATACCTCTTCGGATTCGGAACAAGCCATTCTCGCCCCATTGGTGGCCCCAAGAGTTAACGACCAGCTGAAAGAAAAGACGCGTTCATTTCGTTATTCGTTAAATACGTTTATCCGTTAATCCCCAATATTTACCCAATATTTAATTGGCAACCCATTAACCGTGGATACATCTTCTCCCCATCCAATAATCCTAACCGAATGATAACCAGATTCATAAAGCTCGGCAATCGGCGTGTGCTTGTATATTCCCGATTCATAAGAGAAAAAGTCTTGATAAACTTTCATGGTGGCTGAAATGTAACCATGAATTTCATATCAGAAGAATTGAAGAATAAATAATAAATACATACAAAATGATAGAAACCAAAATATTTACCTTGCACGGGGCCCGATGTTAAAATTTCTATCATGATATCGGTCTCGTTGCCCAATCGATAAGCCGGCCCGACCTTGTACAATTGCTTTCGAAGAGGATTCGCCGCAGGACGACAGCCTGCAGCTTCCAAGTTCGTTCTCTTTTGCAATCTGCACTGTTCGTACACACCTCTCCACGGATAACACTGTTCGTCGACCAACCTGTGACAAGAAAAAAAAATGGGACAAGGAAGATTATCAATCGTTATTGTCATTCAAATTTTATAAATGGGAAATTTTATAAATTGTCATGTGATATTATATATTATGTGATTTTATATATATATATATTAATATTTATTTATATGTATCTAACTTATATAAGTATATATATATATATATATATATATATATATTTATTTATTTATATATATCTAACTTATATAAGTATATATATATATTTATATATATATATATTTGGTAGCAGAATGTTACCCGAATTTTCTCAAGAACAGCCAAGCTCTGTCCAAGTAGCCGCCGTCGCAACCCCGTTGGCCTTTTTTGTTGCACGAGAGCAAATGTTGCGCGCTTAGAAGAACGCTGTCGGTACCCTTGCTCATCACGGCAAATCTGTCCGAGGCCACCTGTGCCGTAGAAATCGCCCACGATGCGCCGCACCAACCTTGATCCTCGACGCCCGAAATCTGTCGCCGCCAACGAGTCCTGGCATCGAATTCTCGGGGCAGGGATTCGGGATCATAAATCCGTCGCACCGAGTTCATTCTGTAAACCTTGTTTACAGAACGAAATCGATCGATCGGTTGGAAGGAAAGCTTTCTTGGTCGTAAAAAAATCGTATCACATATGTTTAATACCGCTTACCGAGTTCGACGGGTTTAGGGTCCCTAGGCGAAGTTGCACACCCTCCGATAATTTCTTACCCCAAAATTCCGAGTAATTTCGCGCCCTCCAATCGAGAGACGGCATTGAATTGACTTCGTCTATTAGGCTTTGCTCTTGCAGGCATCGATTTTGTTCGCAAAGCACCTCGGCGAGTCTGGACACAGCCGTGCATTTGCTTGAAAGAAGAAAGAAGAATTTTTTCTAAATTACATCGATTTTATATTCGATTCGAAAGAAATTAATATATACGAGGATATACGTACCACACGTTGCAATTTATCATGAATACTTGGCCATCGTTGTAATATTTTCCCTGGTGGTAGCATCCTGTAAACGATAAATCGTAACGAAACGAAGCTTGGCCGAGTTGAATCAACGAATCTTATTATTAATCAACGAACGTTTTATCGGTTCAGGAGGTGGCTCCGTGACATTGGTATCGATCCCCTTGCAATGGCTCCAGTAATCGGGGCAACAGTCCTCCTCTCTGAATCGATCGCAAAACTCATCGCAGTAACAAAGACTGCCGAGAATCGGTGCGTTGCAATCGTCCTGGCGATCCGGGCAACATCCTGGATATCTTCTGGCGCAATACGGGCCAGTCGGCAGGCCCGAATAATCGGGCATACCATTCACGATCGTCACCACCACGAGGAAAATTCCGCATGCTAAGTTCTCCCAGGATCGCATTTTTCACACGTTCGTTTCCTGCGACAACAAATTGGTGTATAATTTTTCTTTTTCTTTATTTTTTTTAATTCACATATTCGTTTCTCATAGATTCAACAAGTCGGCCTATCCAATCTTTTTAATTCGATTTTTCATCCAAGATGTAAGAAATAATTTTTCATCCAAGGGTATAATAGATGTAAGAAAATAAACAAGAAGCGAAGATCTCGTCGATTTTTTTGTCAGATGAAATATATAAATAGGAAAATTGCGGATCTCGTTTCCCTATTTTTATTCTCGATATTCTGAATCTTCTGCAACAAATCTATAGATATAGATTCTACGATCTAATTCTATCACGAATTAGATTCTATCTAATTGGCAATGATCGACGAATAACCGTGCCCAATAGCGAGCGTTCTTTTTTCTTTTCTTTTTTTTCTTTTTTTTTTTCTTTTGGAACGATTTCAAACGATTTCTTCCTCGTTAAAATAGAGATTCATCAGTGTTGAAAAGAATGAATAGAAATAGACCACGCGTTGACCGTGAAATCAATGGTAACCCAATGATGAGAGATCGTTTCGAATTGCAACGATCGACTATTTGATCGATCAAGACAAGATCGAACAAACGCATGGAACGTTTATTCGGGAAATATAATGTAAATACGTTTCGAAATATCATTTATGAAACGCTTGTTATCCAACGCATTATAATATTAATGGAATTTACTAGACTGGAACACGTCACGTCGCAGGTTTATTAAATCTCGGTGAATCATCACATTTCCTAAAGTATAGCGACTATTTCCTTCCACGTACGTAAATATATCACGGCTGTCATAAACGTTCTCTCGAAATCTTAGAACTGCAAAACGAAACACATTTCGCATTCGAAATTTCAACCTCCGCGGAGAGTTGTATTCAACCGTTTTGATTTGTATTTCAAGCGGTGTGCAAGCGTGAGTCGGCCATCGCCGATCTTGACCCGTTTTCGGTTTCATTAGAAGTGGACTGAGAATGATAACTATCTTGACCGAGAAATACGCGAATTCTGCTCGAAAATTAAGACCAATTCCGCCCGTGTATCACGTTCGGCTATTATTTCTCTTCTCTATTGCGAGATGTCGTAAGTCGATTCTGATCTCTATTCTTTTCGTACGTGGATTCGTACAACGATAATTCGAACGTAAACCATCACGCGAGATGTATACATATGCAGCTATGAGAACACGCGTGACGTGTTTACCTGTCAAAGCTACCGTACCGCCTCGTGTCAATGATTTTCTTACTCAATGAATGCTGTCAATGGAAAAGTATGCAACCTTTTATCGACCGAAATGACGAAAGCGAATGGACGAATAATGTGTGACGAAGCGAGAAGAGAAATCTTTATCGTGATGAACACCGATATGACTGTTGAATATCATCAAATATTGCACGAGTATAACGAGTAATCGATTTGGTAAACAAACACGCAAGTGATCTGTTCGAATTATCTAATTTCAAAATTGATCGTGAATCATTGATATGACGTAATCCCCGATTATCATTTTTTTTTTTCGACGAATTTTGAACTGTGTGTGAGGGACGCATAGGGAATGCATGCGTCACTGTGGAAAAAAAAGAAAAAAAAAAAAAAAAGAAGAAAAGAAAAGAATTATTCGAATTATTCGAGTATATACGTAACGCGGAAGATTGAAAGGCTTGCAAAAGGCTTGACGATTCTCTAAACATGTCACGATTAAAATATCGATCAGGTTTTCAAACGGAGCGTAAAATAAACGAAAAACACTTTGGGAACGATATATAGTCGTTAACCTTGTTAACAACCGTTAAATTTTTTTTCTTTTTATAACGAAAATGGATCCCGATGATCTTGCAAGAAGATCGAAAAGATTAAGAAAATAAACGGAATATAATTATAGTGACTCGTATGCGATTGGAGGCTATTTTAAAAATGACTCGATTGGCGAAAAGAGGTTGAAGAAAGAGGTTAGTAGGCATCGTATATTTTTAAGCCGATTTCTTCAGGGTGCAGAGCCATTTGTTTTATCGATAAAAAAACGAACGAACGAACGATCCGTCCATCTCCATATTTTTTTTTTTTTTTTTTCTTTCCATATTTTCTTTCTATATTGGATTATTTATCACGACGCGTTTCCCCGATCGATTTTTCTTTATCAAACCGATCGATCTTTTTCTCCATCCATTTGATCGTTGCTCGCGATCTCGATTCCTCGAGAAATACCATTGAATCCTCTCTGTCTAATCTCTCCTCAACACCTCCTCATCTCGTTTCCATCGAAATTTTCAACTTCGCCTGTCTTCTGTTTCTTTTTTTTTCTAAAATTATATATATATATATATATCGATCGTGGTTCAGTTTAAAGTTTCCTAAAATTAAACGCCAGTGTCACTTTTTCCAAACTCATTCTCTCTTTCTCCCTCTCTTTCTCTTTTTTTGTCTCTCTCTCCTCCACCACCCTGTTCCCCTACTCCTATCGATTCTCAACCGCAAGCGAATCATCCTCTCCCTCGATTATTTTTTCTTCTCTCTTTTTCCCCTTCATTTTCTTTTTCCTCTTTATTCAATCTGTTTATCGTAAGTCGCGCCAATGCTTATATACGTATATCTTTCAAATTGTTCGCGCTAAAAATAACGCGAACGTCATATATTAACGC